TGGAGGGAGACAGGAGCTTGAAAAAAAAAGGGGGGGGGGGTGCACTGTCCAGCAGCTGTTCACAGTGGTCTTAAGTAGCTATTTCACACGGAAGCAGTCATAGCACTCTGAATTCCTCCAGCTGCCGAGTCTGCGGCTCCATCCGCAATGCATTCCAGCACAGATATATCTACTGTGCGCTTTTACTGCTGCATGATGCACATCCCTCCAGACCTTCCAAAGTCAGTCCACTGTCCACCCATCTGTAGATTTATAACTCAAAGGAGAGTAAAAAAAAAAGTATCCATCTTTCATTACTGAAAATACAATCTATTTTCTTCCGTCAGTCTTTTCCAGTGGTCTGCAGAAACGAGACTCTGCTCTGCACACATACACGCACACACATTTTAATAGCCGTTTAGAGAGCTTGTGTGAAAGTCAAACACTTTTTCCCACAATCCAAAGAAAGATCCATCATTCGCGTATGTTTACTTTAGGCAAGAAGCCTCAGTCTCTGAGTCACCCTGTATGTGTATGTCAGAGAGTGGGTGGAAGGAAAAAGAAGAAGAAAAGAAGACAGAAATCACAGTGAATGAGGATACAGAATGTATGAATACATTCGGTTTCTCTTTTGAATGCTTGATTAATTATTCACTTGTGGATTGAAGGGTTATAGATTAAGCAAGCAAGATGTCCAGCATGTAAAGCAAGAAAAGAACACAGCCAACATGGTTTAAAATGCTTGACATACATCACAAGACAGAAATGTTGACTGGCTTTATCCAAATGTTTTGACTTGGCAACACAATGAACATCAGCAAAAAACAAATTTGTAAGATTCAAAACAATGGGTATGGGTACGTTAGGCGTGTCTAAATCCTCAAGGGTAACCGTTCTACGGGTTTTGGATGTTTCAGTGTCTCAACACACCTAATTCATATCAATGAGCAGGTCCACGCAGAGATTAACAGTATTTTAAATGGACACATTTAATCAGAATTAGTTGTGTTGAAGCGGGGAAACATCTAAAACCTCCAGGACAGCAGCCATCAAGTACTGGATTTGTAGACCCGTGGGCTGGGAGCTATCCCTCTGTTGTGTATTGTTTTTGGAAAAAATTACGTAGAAGTGGAAAGGCAACTGAACAAACAAGTGTGTAAGATCTTGGAAGAAGCAGAGGTGTTTATTTCCAAACTGAGCAGGGCAGTAATCTTATCACTATGGAATACAGTTGGGTGTGGGCATCCACGGGGGCTGCCTCTGCTGTCACACATAGAAACAAAAACCAGAGTTTGCCTACTATTTCTGCACGCCTAAGAAAGCCGCAAAACTTCAGAAGGCAGTGCAAAAGTCCCTGAAAGATACTGAAATCCATTTTATCGTTATACATTTTGATAAAGAATTACAGTTTATTTGAAAAAAAGAAGAAACCCGCTCTTCAAATGGCTTCAAGTCTGTCTGTAGGGGGTCTCAGCTGCTGATTGGCCATGACCAGTTTTTCTACAGGGGCTTCTAATCCTCTCCACACTCTCTGTGGGTGCTCTCCAGGCTTTTCCCACATAAATCAGTCTGGCCTGGGTGGTAAAGTCATCACGTCTTCTGTGTCCACACACATAGCCTGTTAGTACACCTATCACCAGGAGCGTGCTAACTTTGAAGGGTCACCAGGCCTGACATGAATATAATGAGCGAACATAAAATAGCCAGCCCACTGCCATTACACAAGAAAATAACAAACAACTATTGGATAATCTTCCAGAGACGGCGGGGATTCTTTAATGTAATCTGAGACAGAGCATATCATGTCAAACACACATTGGAAAATAATTTGATTCCACCCCATTTGTACTGAGGCTATCTGTGTCTGAGTCAGGATAGATAGCCATTTTAAACACAAACTATAGCCATAGCTGCACATATGACACTCAGAATGTATCAATCAAATAATCACATCCAAGGCCTGACTGTCTTGGCTGAAAAATGGCTCTACTAAAGTCATTTTTACATGACACAGTGATTTATCTCAATAAACATTGGAGTTCAGTTTCACCTGAGGATGACAATCTGCTGGGGAGGCAGAAGAAGTATGAAGCCCAAAGTCATTTCTCAGGGTACTGCGCCTCCAATCTGCTCCTTGGTAAACTTTGGTTACGTTTTTAGTTTTTTAAACTGTTTACTGGTGTACATCTAGATTCTCTGTATAAATCTTAGTGACTTTAACACCTTATTGTGGATCTGTGGTCGTTGTTTGTTGGGCTTCTGAAGCTTATATCCACTCACTTTAGATTTTAGAAGCCTAAAATCACATATCTGATTCTTATTCAGAAACTATCTAAATTAGGTATTTCATGAATCCAGGTTTTGGATTTAGAATCCCACTAGATTTTTCCCCATTTTGTGTATGGCAGTAGATACTTGCAATCCTATTTCAGAATGATGTTGGCCTGTTTACATTACCCGTGAGATGTACTGCAGTTGAGAACGCTGTGAAACCTTAGATATGTGATGTTATGTCAGTCCGTAAACCTGCTGTGTAAGGACACAATTCCCTACTGCGGGAAAAGCCGAGCTTTGTTACTAAGGCCACTGACAGCATGAGTTTAACATTTTACTTTTAACCCACCGGTGCTCTTAATTTACAAGACTTTAGCCGACTTTCATTCTTGACACTGCAAACGTACAGTATCATTCTCATGCAATTCTGTAAAAACAAAAAAAGCCTCTCTGTTCACACACTGCGTGGTATCCAGAGGTGTTACGTGCTGAAAGGGAGGAATTACAGACTGCTTTGTACAGCTGGATCTACAAAAGCAGAGGTGCTGTCAAAAGCAGGTTCAACAATCAATATTCATGCTTATATCTCCCACTTCAAATAGAAGTGCTATTTCCTTTGCTTTACCTCTATTATAAACAGTGCAAACACTGTTCAAAGGGATGTGCTGCTTTATTTCCAGCACAGAACAGAGTTATAAATTCTGACCTGTCACATCTTTGTTTGTGTGATGGGAGACCCCCTCCTACCCCACCCAACCAGTCCTTTGCGAGAACTTTGTCACCGGGGCTTCCATTCTCACAGCTTCTCTCCAGTCCAAACAAAACGTTGACTTAGTTTTTCAGTTTGTGTGTGTGTTAATGGAAAGAGAGGGGATGAGGCAGGGGAGATAATTAACAAAAATGGGAACGGTATTAATGTAAGATTTAAAATAGAATATACAGATTATGTAGCAACGGTGGAGGGAGGGGTAAGGTTCTTCTTTCATTTTTAAAACAATTTCTAGAGAGAATAGCTGGGGTGTCTGCTTCCACCCATGAGACCAGAGAAAGAATAAACATAGTTGTATTTCCTCATTGGATTTTTCTGTTTCTTTATTTTATCCTTCGTACACACCCAGTTGTTTATTATCCATCGTCAAGTGATATTTATTACAAGCCCCTCAAACAATCTATTGTGGCTTGACTGGGATTATTTGGGAGTCTACCTTCAATCAACAAGGCTTCCAGTTCTTCACAGCAGTACAACACATTTGCAGACCTTGTGAACAGATAGTAACATACTTTAAATACATCTATCTGACCTTGAACACATTGGGAATACTCTCCCCGGGATCTCTTCCAACTGGAAGTCAGTCAAAACACTGCCCACACCTGCCAGGCTTGGGAGTGTGTCTGCTGCAGCCCTTGTGGTGAAAGACATATTTCACAGTCAGACGAAAACAGAAAAACAGCTCATTACACTTACTTGTGATGTAGATAAAACTGTATCATGCATTCTTCCATGCAACAGTTTGCTGCTACACAGTTAAAAACAAGCAAAAGCAACACACAGTCCGCATAAAGATTATATTAAGTGACATTTCAGAGATTTGTGATTTGAGATTTGAGAGAAATTAGTAAATATTCTTGCACAAAAAAGCTGAAGTTAGCTATTGAAAACTTTCCACTGCTCGGCTTTCATCACATGGTGAAGCAGGTGTCTGAGAGGCCTAACAAGCTCCTATAGATGACGTCACAGGCACTAACGAAGCTGTCTCCAAACCAGCCCGCTGCATTCATGGCCAAACCCATGCCTGTAATTTATGCAAGGCCAGGACCAGGAGTAGGGTAACATAGAGGGGGAGACATTAGAGGGGCAGGGTGCTTGAATATTGGTGCGCTGCCCTCCCCTGCGGAGAGAAACTGTGTCATAATGCTGGACTGCTTTTATGATTCAAATCAAGGCTATTGTCTCTAAAAGCGGCCGGCTCTGCTCTGTGCTGCAGAACAACCGAGGTACTATACGCCGGCCACAGAAAATGAGTCCGCTGCCATAGGCTGAGAAGGTGCCGGCTGAATCGAGAGAGCCGATCTAAGAAATCAGGTCTCCGAGTCTGCTCGCTGGCTTTGGAGACAACAAGAATGCTTACTGTCTGTCCTATCTCCAGCCCTGCAAACACAATCCACTCTGCCATCAGTGATTCATCAGCCCCAAACACACAAAACAATTAAGTTTGGACTGAACTGGACCCGTTCCAGACTGCAAGCACAATATAAGCTTGGAATTGTTGTTGTTGTTGTTGTTTTTGCTTCAGATCGAGAAATGTTAAATGCAGAAATATATTCATTTGAAACTATCATGTATCGGGATCATCGCAGAAGGCATTACAAAAAAAATATTTTGAACTTTTTCAGCAAGTTTTATATTCCAAGATTCCAAGCATTTGGGAAATTTGTCTCCTGAATTCTGCTGTTAGTGAGATACCAAGATCACTGTATTGTGGTTGTCCATTGTCAAACAATCAAACCATTCAGGTTTATGTGTTTCTTCTTTTATTATTAGAAAGTGTCCCTTCTTTCTCACAATATTTCAACTATTCTTTTTTTATTTCTTTCCTGTATGTTCTTTTTTCTTCTTTTTGGACTTCTTTTTTACCTCCCTTCCCTCAGTCTAAAGTGACAAAGAGAGAGAGAGAGAGAGAGAGAGGGAGAGAGAGAGAGAGAGAGAGAGAGTGAGGGAAGGAGGAGGGGGCGGAGTGATACCAGACGCCGGGACTCATCGGGAAGGAAAACTTTTTCAAAAGTTTTAGGAGGTGAGAAGGAATCACAGCAGCCGTGGCCGAGCTGCGGAGGATATTACGGGACTGGGACTTAACTTAACGCTACGCTTTCCGGTAGACTTTTACAAATAAGAAAGACTAAACAAATAATAATCTTCAGCGAGTTTGGAGCATTATTTTTTTGGTGATATTAACAAAGGATGTATTTCTACTGAAATCCCTGTTCGAAAGGCTGGAAACTTTTCCACAGAAATGGAAGGAAATATCCCATGGATTATTTTGTCATTTGTGTTGTTTATACATATTGGTGAAGGTGAGTTGATTTAACACTTGTAGCGTTTAAGGGGGTTTAAATCCACAGGTGGACCGGACATGTCTGGACAGCCGACCCACCGTCGTCCTCATTACAGGCTAATTAATGCTTTACTTAACTCCGAGGCTCCCACTGACTAGCTTATCTTCTACACCCCCCCAAAAAATATTTGTTTTCTTGTATTTTTTTGTCTTTAATTACCAGTTATTGATATGGATTAGGGTCTCAGAGTATTACGTTTTTGGGCAAAGCCTCTTGATACCATTTAACCACCCTAGTGGGAACAGAGCACATGCAATCAGATTTGTTCATCACATATTAACATATTTTGATTTAAGTTTTCTGAAAAAAAAGAAGGGGGAAGTTAAGTACACACAAAAAGTTGCATTTTTATCCTTGCTGACAAATGATAACTTGCAAAACCTAAAAGTGGAAAAGACGTTTTATTTATCCAAACTTTTGAGTAATACCGAAGATATGAGTGTTTCAAAGACGCACGCATTAATGTAGAAAAAAAACAGATTCACAGAATCTCCCAAAATGACCACAAAAGTTTATCAGCTCTCGCCAGTACGCACTAAACATGCGGGAGTCCGCAAAAATGCGGCAAGTGGTCAGCGCCTGCTATCTGCCCACCACTGACGGAGAGTTAGATGGATTTTACAGTTGATGGAGATCTAGGCATGTCGACTTGACTTGCAAAGTTGAGTTAAATTTTTCAGAATAGATTGCCTCTAAAAGTTTCAATAAAAGTTTCAGTTGTGTGGTTTTTCTAACGCATGTCTTCAATTCACAGGGTTCCGCTGTTTGGATAAAAACAAGCCTTGTGAAAACGGAGGGACATGCATAGATTCACCTTCTCAGTGCATGTAAGTGTAACAGAAAACCTTCCAATATGTGAATATGTGCCACGAAAAGGCTCGTGGACAAGAATTTCTGTTCTTCTTTAGTTGTCTCCTGCATTTAAACTTTCTAAACTGAGCCTTTTGGAATCTTTCAAACCAAATGTGTTGGCCTTGAAAGCAAATTGTTATACACAACATTTAACTTGTTGGTTGCTGAAGTCTTCAGGAGTATGCATGTGTTATATCTCATCATCTGTGGTGTGTTGAAAGAGATGACGCATCGATTTGGGCTCCACAGATCAGGATCCTCAACATGGTTGGCTAGCCAACTCATCTCTTGCACCTGTTAGAGGGCTTAAACATGATTTGAAAACTTGCTTCATGATTTATCTTGTTAGACTTTTTTTTCCCCAGTTCTTTTTTATTAATTGGCTTTGTGCCTGTGCCCGGAGTGTTTGGCTCTGGGATCCTCTGAGAGTGTTCAGGCTTTTGTTTTACAAGTCGGTGAGGGGGTTGTGTGGGAACGTATTACAAAAGTCAAGTTAAATTGCCTACCGTGTCTTGCCTTGGGGTGATTTACCCTTTTTTAAAAGCGTTTGGTTCATGAAATATGCCTGGATGTTTCATATGTATGACATACAGGGATGAAACAGTAGTCACTGGTTTTCATCACCTCCCCCTCAGACCAATAAATGTATTATTTTAATGGTGAGTGCTCTCTGATCTCTATACTTTTGGACAAGTTTACCTCTAATAACTAGAGTTAAACCAAGGCCATCAATGTTCTTGTCACTGGCATAAATATATGTGTCCCACTGCATTTGCAAAGAGTTCTATGAAATCCTTGTACTGCCATTGCACACTAGCCAATGTGTAACTCGACTGCATGTGAGGGATTTAACCACTACCTGCATTTTTTTAATCATTAGCTGCAGTCAACGAGATTGTGGGTCATTTGGTAAATGTATAATTTCATCGAGACAGACCTTTTTTACCGCTATATCTAACATAACATTCAGTGTTTAGAACCATGTACAATAATCTCCTGATTTTGTGCCATGACATCATTGTGAAATTAAGGGAACATCAAATGTCACTTGGTAGAAAGAGTCTCAAAGCAGTGGAGCAGATCATGGACACATGAGATTGCTCAGACCGGTCCTATGAGTGGTGGAGCCACTCCACCCCTTCCCATGGGAGCCTACGGAAACAGGAGATCCAAAACAGCAGAAAAGATCCTTTCTTCCCACAGATACCTGGCTGTAATCTGGCACCGCAGCACAGGGTGCAGAGAAGAATAAAAGAAAAAGGCCATAGCAAAGAGAGGGCAATACGGAGGGGAAAGAAACAGAATCCAGGTAGAGATAGATGCTTTTGCATTCACATGGAATTTGGGAAACTGATTGAAAACAAGCAAGAAAGTACAGCAGTTCCAAAGAAGTGTGCCAATTATGAATGGTGGAGAGATGTTCATCTCTTATCTTGAAGCCATTGTGCTATTTCATTTCTGTTACAGAAAGTTGTTTTTTGAATGACAGGACTACTGTTTGTGTAGTAGATGCCATTGTTACTGTCCCAGATACCGATACATCCTGTCCTTTTGGCAAGAAACCCACATCGAAACTGGAAGGGCTAATACATCTTGATAATTGTATGGGTTTTGTTTTTTATTTCTTCATCTTTTTATTCCAGAGTTGAAATTCCCTACGTAAACACGCTTTTAGACAATATGGCAGAAAGAATTTGGTTGCAGAAGTTGGGCAGTTTTCTTTTGTTTAGGGTAGAACTGCAGATGCTTCAGTGTAAGTTGTTCCCAAATCCTCTATTTGAGAAGATGGAGAATCCACAGGTGCTAACAGTGTGCAACACTGGAGTGACCACTCATCAAAAATGTGTCAAAACTGATCGCAGACTTGTGATTTTAGTGATGCCTCAGCAGTTACAAGCTGGGTACCTAATTTAAAAGTGCAAATCTAATTATGGAACTTGATTTCAGTCCAATTCCGGAGCAGATTTTACTGATAAAAATGTGGTCTTTGTGTTCATGTGCTTCGACCTTGCAAAGTGGCTTTCAGTTACTGCTGTGGTCATATATTTAATAAGTTCCACTAAACACATCTGACCTTGTTTATTCTGATTTTTTACATGGTTTAAGGTTTTTCCAATTATATTATGTATTTAACTACCCCTGACTCATGCACAGTAAAAAAATTCCAAGTATTCTTCCTATAATCCGGCAGTAATTTGGAGTTTTGAACTTGACAGTGAATGGTTGAGAGTGTCACAGACAGTGGGAGCTTCTAGGTGAGCAGTCAGGATGTCCAGTTAAAGAACCGCCGCCCTCAGCTGTTCCCTGTGAGCAGGATGTGCTGCGGGGAGAGGGCTGTAGCGGCATGGCTTGAGGAGAGATAATTAGCCAGATTGAGCGGGTGTCATTCAGAGAAGATCCAGCTGGAGGGATTGGACTGGGGGTAGGGAATGGGTAAAGGGCGGCTGGGCAGGGGGAAGGAGGGAAAGTACCAAGGGGGGGGAAGGGGGGCTGCGTATAGGACAGCTGGTGGATGTTGTGATGGTAATCCAGTGAAGTCAGATCTTGACAAAAGGAAAGCATAGGGCCAGGTGCTGCCATTGAGCAGTCAGTCGCCCTCATACTGTGAGAGACAAGCTTGTGGAGGAATGAGGCCGGTAGCTCAGAGTCCCTCTAGCACATGTTGCTTCTCTCACAGCGCAGCAGCAAACAGTGGTTTCCCTCTCGCTGCGTGTTGTCCCACCTCTTGCAACTCATCCTCGGTCTTGTAACACAGTGGCACTTTGGAGATTAAAACCAGCTCTTTCCTCTCTGATGTGCTTAGTGGAATGGAAATAAATGTTGGTCTTTCAATGTATGAGGCCCATTGATGGGATACAGTCGTCCGATTTCTGTTATAAATGTTCTGCCATTGTTCGCAGTAGCAGCAACAGCTTATAAATTGAGTCTTGTTATGACCCCATTGCACCTCTAGCCTCTTAAAACACGATAAAAGAGAATATCTTAGCCAGTGATAAGGGGCAAGCTGTCCAGATAGAGCGGAGTGCTGTTTCTCTTTTTTAAAAACACTGCAACTGCAGCCTGTGGACAATTATAGTGTAATATCAATGCGTTTGAAGAAGTTACAGCATCCTTTCCCCATCAAATACATTTTTCCATTTATATAGACAGAATCCATGTTTTCCAAAAGATAAATTTGGATGCATGTAGTTCTGCTCTTTTCTAATGTAAACTTTAAAAAAACATGTATTTAGCTAATAAGTAGACATACAGTATACATTCATGCCAAGGCATGCATTTACGGACAAACCATGGCAAAGAGACAGATTATATTGTTAGCTTAGTTCACAGCACCTCAGGGCTAGTGTTTTCTTTGGCATCTTTATGGTGGATTAGAGAGGAATGCTTAGTGAGTAAGATTCCTCTTCTCCCTCTGGTGCTTTCAGGTTATTGTCTCTACCTCCATTCACCCTGTTTGTCCCCTCAGGAATGCCTTGAACAATACTGTTGGCCTAGACTCATTGAAAATTGGACGTTTGGAGTGACTTGTTTGATTCGCAATTAGTTACTCTGCATTTCTGTGTGGCATGATATCACTCAGGCAGATGGAGATGGAGAATTGTCTGCCGTTATTCAAGAGAACTGATACATGTGGACCAAATACAATTAAATTGTTGTGGTCATATCCATTATAAGATGAGTACTATCTCACAAAGGGATTTGGGTTTGCTGTCCTTTCATTGCCTGGGTCATGTTTGGAGACTTGGGAGCTATGGTTCCCAGGCCCTGTCAAAGGAAGTAGTGCCTTCTGACCTTTCTGCTACGCACATCCTTCGCTATCTCAGAAGCTTAAGAAGCTTACCGACTGTACGAAGGTCTTCATCTTCCTCACTTGTCTCATATTATGCTTCACTTTGTTCCATCCTGTCTTCTTGCCGTATGGCTAGATTCTGCTAAAATGACCATATTCCATTATTTCTTTTAAAACTACACTTGGATGGAAATGTAGCGTATATTTTTCTTAATACTAAACACATACACAGAAAGGTCTGTGTTTTCATTACTGTGCACTAGAACATCCTGGTGGAATTTGTACATTGTTCTTTTTGGAGTTGATATATGTCTGAACCACATGCTTATGTCGGGATAAGCCTACCTTTGAAGTCTCATCCCCTGTTGTTTGTACTTATCCCAAAGAAAGGGGTTTCTTAAGAGACTTTCAGACAGGTCTGATTGTAATAACCGAAGTTGACCAGCAATTTTCCCCAGTCTCTCCCTCCCTTTAGGGATGGGCCCATCATTAAATGATTCAGGAAAAAGCATTCGCTTTTCCACTAAGCAGACATTCCACACGGAACTCGATTTTAACCATGTCGCATCGCGGCAATGTTTACCTTTTCCCCATTTGAGATTTTTGGAGTGAAAATACTTGAAAATATAACTTTAAAAGTCCTTTATTTAACATTTAACATGCTATGAGGTATAACTGTCACACATATTCTGTAACATCTCCAGTACTTCATTGGTTGACAGCACTTGAGATAATAAACATTCTCTGGCTGTTTTCCTTAGCTTATCAGAAAGGACCTTTGCCAGTGCCCCATAAACAAATCTCATTCTTCGGGACTATAAGCATGTGAGAGTCTGTGCTGGTCTCAGTCAATTTGTGTGACAGTTTCTGTCAACAGTTTCAAGTGTGGAGTGGCTTTTATCTGATGCTGTTGTAGTTCTATTTATTCTTTATTCATTGTGCAGAAAATCAATTTAGTACATACATCCATACATGTATACACATGTGCATATATACATACCTACACATAGATACATATGTACTTTTTAACATTGGTTGAGGCTTGGGTCTTTTCAATTTAAAAGTTTTACAGAAATCTGGTTCTGTCTAGTGGGTTGGGTGGGGCTTTGTGGTTTAGAGCACTTTTAAAGACCTCTACTCTTGATTTTGTGTAATGTGGTTATGGGCAAGCACATTGCTATTTGAAAAATGTTGGTGATGTCTTCTTGCAGATTGACATTGGATTTCAATTAGTTGAAGATCAAGTCTGTACTACAAGTATAGTGATAAAATTGCAAGCATGTGTCTGGTTCTTTTCACAGCAGTGATTTGGAGTACATTTTTCTTCTCGTGGTGCAGTAGATCTTCACAGTCCAAGAAAATGTCTGGCATTTCCTTAGATTTCTTATTTATTTTCTGATACTTGTAGATCTGACAATGAAGATCAGAAAGGTGGGAAGGATTTATGTCATCTTTTTTTTGCCAGGCTGATTTCAGTTTTCAGAAAAGCATACTTAAAAGGCTTTGCAGTCACAGAGTTAATATTCACATTTATTAGACACTCATTGTACACTATACTGTGCCACTCTGCAAAACACACATACTTTGTACGCGGTTGCAATAGATTCTTGGACTGAGTGCTCAAAGCTACCTGCACATGGTGGGGAGGTGGGGGTGTTGTAACCCATCTTCTGAAGTGCTCCAACTGTCCTTATGAAACCCTAACTCCCACCCCCTTTTTCTTTCTCTGGCTCTGTCTCACCATGGGTTACTGTTGCCAGGCTACAGCCCATGCCTTGAAAGACTAGCTGTTTGGGTCACTGCTCCCCCTAACCACCGCCCCTCAACACTTTTATACAAAGGAGTTCTGACTACTTTAGCTCTTTTATTTGGGCCACAAAACATCCCCCATCCCCCAATCTGGCTATGTGCTATAGAAGAGAGAGCCAAAGAGAGAAGACCTGAGCAGAGCAGACTGCTGGAGGGAGGGGGCAAGGATGGGCTCCTGTTGGCAGTGTGGTGTCAGTATGGGCTCTCATAAAGGAAAGGAGCTGGTTCCTGCTAGCATGTGGAAAGAGGGGGGAGGGAAACAGATCGTCTTGAGAAAATCAGACATTTCTCCAAAAGGCATTTCAGTTCAATAGCATTAAGTGCAAAAGAGTTTAAAGAATTTTCGTCAGATCCTCATTTGAACGAGGGTGTTGAAATGTCACATCGAGTCAGATAATAGCAATACTATAGTTAATCTTCCTCCCCATTTTAGTTAGGGAAATACCTTTGAGGTAGGAAGGCTCCTTTTTTTACTTGTTGCTTTGTGGAGCATGACTATGTGTACGAACCGTGTCAGAGATTACAGCCTCTTTGTCCACAGGTGAACCACCTTCTGACCCCTGGCAGAGTAGCTACTATTGTGTAGAAGAGGATGAGCTCAGGTTACTTTGCTGAAGTGAACCAGAAAGCAGGAAAATTAGCATTGTATTACACATGTATTGGTGATAGAATTCACTCACATAAAGAAAAGTTTTAAAGATAGAAACTTGATACTAAAACAATGTAAATGTCACTACACAGAGATTAAATGTCTTATTTCGAAATACAAAAAATGCTATAATGTTTTTTTTTGTTCAATTTTTCTTTTTCATCATCCTCTACTACTCTTTCTTTGTCTTAAAACATGTCCTCAGTGAATCTTTCTTACATTAGGGGTTCTGCTGTTCCTCAGAAGCTGAGGCCGGTTGTAAGTTTCTCTTCTTTGTGCTTGGGTGTGTAGTTTTATTGCATGTGTCTGTGTTTTTGCAGTGATGCCTCTGTGTAAGAGTTCTGAAAATGTGTGTTGAGGATGAGGAACTGCTAATGCATGTGTTTGTTAAGGATGACCACATCTCCTGAGTGAAATTAAAGGGGTTATGTGTGCAAGCATGTGTGTTGGTAAATGGACCAGTCCCATGAGCAAAACAGCCCAGTTGTTTGGGCTTATAGTCTGGCAGGGGAGGTAAATGCCAGACAGCCAGAGGTACTCTGACAGATGTGGACAGATGGCAGGGTTGCAGCTGGCAAAAGCCCTCATATGTGTTGACACAGAGAGATTACCCGCTCTGGCTGACTCTTTGCTGCACTCAAAGACCTCCTCATCATCTGCTGTACTCTCTTCCTCAAAGGTCAAATGTCTGCAGTCAGAATGAGTCAAGGGCTCATTGCACAATAGCGGCCTGCACCTGCCGTTCACATCCGGCACAAATAACGCAGTAACTCTGATCGTGCCCTGCCATTGTCATAGGCAGAAGAGTCCAAAAGGTTGAAGCAAGACTGATAAGCAGACATTTCGACGCGGAGGAAAAAGTAAACTAGGACAGTGTTCTGATAGCACTCTAATTTGTGTGTTTTGGGAGTAGTATGTTGGCACTGAGTCAGGTCTGGACAAAAGAATGTGTGTTTTGGCTGCTAGGTTCAGTGTTCATTTTTAAGGGAGGACAAATAGTTTATCAGGCATTACTACAATCTCTATTCCTACAGACCAACCCACAAACTCATGCCTAAATGTTCACTAATGATGATACAAATGTACATAAATTAATTGCATTTTCATCAGCACTTAATTGGCAGTCAGTGGTTACTAGATAATTTTACAGTTTTTACAGTATTTCCTTAGCTCCTTAAGCCACTTTATTCATTTGTGCTTTCAAAGACGTCTTTGTGGCACAGTTGTGTTTCATTTTTGGTGACACCCTGGATTCCAGACATAGTTAATTTGCCTCTAAATAAACCCAGCCAAGCCATGACAAATAGCCATGGGGACTTAGGGTGGGGGGAGGGGGGAGTGGCTGAGTGTCAGGCTTGTTGGTTCTTCTGTGGGGTTGCTGGGGAAACAGAAATTGTGCACAAAAAGTGCACAATTTAGTGAGTGTTGTGTTCTTAGTGCATGGGACTCGGGATTACAGGAAATATGACATGAGATTGCTGCTGGACCGGGCTGCCTTCCTCATTTTTCTGTCTTCCTTAGTAGCTGTTGCACCCTCCCAAAAACATTTTCTCCTGCAGAACAGCTCCACCCACACCCTGTAGCCCAAGTGACATTATCATCACAATCAGACAGGGGACCTCTGACATCTGACCTCTCAGCGCGTGAGAGGAGGGAGTCGTTCGGGGGCAGGCCACGCTGGCATTCACAGGGGATTTAAGATATGGGAGAGAAGCAGTTGGAACTGTGCAGACTCTTTCTGTCAGCGGAGGCTTTTGAGTACAACTTCACCCAACATTTCCAACCAAGTCCATGTGCCTTACTGCTGGCATTAAAGCTCTTACACAATGGACTGTGGCTTCTTCAATTTAATATTGACTTGTTAAAACTGGAGCAGAATAGATCAGTTGGGGGCAGCAGCATATCTCAGACCACAAAGACTTGGATGTAGTACTCCCTGTATGTAGAATAACATATTGATAAATTATGTCTGATTATTTAATTAATTATTTTTACCACGGAAGTTCACTTCAAAAAGTAAATCATGGACAAATGCTACAGTAGTTTTCATTTTCAAGTTAGCGGAAACAGAAGAAGACCAATTGTTGATATTCCTGGGTTCCTCTCTGCTGAAAGAAAAGACAGAGCCCAAGGGCAGGCCACAACCCAGCTGTCACTGCACTGCCACCGGCATCAAACATTGTGTTTGAAGTGGGGCCTTGTCTCTAACCAAAGGCTCCACTGTGGGTGTAGAGTTACTAGCTCCACAAGCCCGGTCTGAACCCCCATAGGAACTCTGAAGAGGTCTATTGGAAACCCTGTTTGATTGTTTATCTTACTTTCCTAGAGCAGAATATTTCGGTCAAAGTAAAAGATTTTAAAGCATGGAGCAGCCTCAGCGTACTGCCTGCTACCAGTGTCCTCAGACATTGTGTAGCATGCTCAGACCACACTGTAAAAGTTCAATTGAAATAGAACAACTGAAAAATACATTTTTGGAGCCTTCAAATACAAAAAGCAGATTATTACTTTCTCACTACACTGCATTTAGAGAGCCTGTTTAAGGTAGCAGTATTGATGTAATTATTAAACAGCTTCATTTATGACTGAAAATTTATGAACAAGTGTATTATTTTTTATTCCTGAAAATTATTATAAAAGGCAAAGAATGCATATATCTGAAAAATGTATGAAGACACAAAAGCTTTTTTTTTTAATCAATTCTCCTCTATTCTGTGATCAAAAGATTAGTAAGTCAATAGTGAAACATCACATCAGAAGTAGTCATAGCGATACTGCCAAAAACCATAAGCTAGGGTAAAGGCCATTCCAAGTGATTATGATGCAGTGGTATATTATTGACTATATTACATTGTTAGTCCAGAGAGAGGCTTTTTCAGTTCTGTTAATGACTGCTGTGTGATTTCCTTGTTTTTTATTCATGTCAGAATTTGCTAACAGTTAAGTCTCCAGACTGCTGCGATTGGGTGTGTTCTTTTTGTGTTTGGTAACAGAAACCTGAATGGAGATGTGGAAATAAACTGTACTGTGGAGGAAATTTAGCTTATGAGAGAGTTGAAGCTCTCATTCTGCAAGTAAATGCATGTGTCTGCAGAAATAAGTAAAATGCAACAAGATCCCCTCCTCCATCTTTGTATACCTGTGTGTCGATGTATGCGGTCATTCTCTGAATTGCATGAAATGTGTGTGTGAGGTAAGGAGTCACAACGCAGAGTTATGAAGGGCCTAGGGTATTGCTGAAAAGACAAATCAGGGATCAAACCTTTACAAAATGTCACAGGATCCTGATTGCTAAAACCACAGAATGATGGAAATTTGGCTTCAAGTTTAATATTTTTAGCAAGCCTGCATTAAATACAGCCACTTGTCATATTTTGACCAGCTTCTGCCCTGTGTTTCAAATCCTAATTTATCTTAATTTCTTTGTACAGATGTCGTCCAGGATTCATTGGTCCGCTCTGTAAGCACCTCGATCCATGTCATCGATCGCCATGTCTGAATGGTGCAGCTTGCAAGAGCCAGGTGGTCGGTGGTGTCCCACAGTACACATGTGTGTGCCATAGAGGATTTAGAGGTAAGTGGCTTCATATCTATGATTGGACCTAAGTTACACTTAGGTCTTTTTTCAAATGAAGGCTCTTTTTCAATCCCTAGGACAAGACTGCTCCCTCATTGATGCCTGTGCCACAAGTCCTTGTGCTAATGGGGCCCGCTGTGTCAATTGGAATAACCACTACAACTGTTCCTGTCCACCTGGGTACCAGGGCAAGAACTGCCGCAATGACATTGATGAGTGCCGCAAGTCTGGTGTGTGCCTCAACGGTGGCCTCTGCATTAACACACATGGATCCTTCCGCTGCCAGTGCCCACCAGGATACAGTGGGCGCACATGCGAGGTGTCCATCCTCCCTTGTGCTCCATCTCAGTGCCTTAATGGTGGTACCTGTCGACAAACCAGCGACCATTCCTATGACTGTGCTTGCTTACCAGGTAGAGTACATGCAAACTCAGTACCATGCCCCACTGTATTTCCAGGCAATAATCAGAGTTACAAGTGAGCTCACATAGGTTTTAATGATGTTTGGTGGAATTTGGTCCTGCATCTCAGGTCGCTTCCTGGCTGCTATTAATAGCTTTTGATGGGAGATGAGATGGTGGGAGAGTTGAGGAAGAAGCTTGCCTGCACTCCTCACTCTTCTCCACAACTCTCCTCTAAATTGAAAGAATTTACTTTATGGGCCTTCTGGTTTCCCACTGGGGAACTGACAGGAAATGTCCCCTGCCAGAGAGGAAGTCATTGAAACTGTGAGAGATTATAAAACAAGCAAACATTGAGGGGAGTGCAGACCTCTGAAGCGGGCAGGAGTCAGAGTCGTTGCTGGCTTCGTGTGGGAAAAGTCAAATGAAGATGTAAACAATCAGACGCCTTCTGAAACTTTTTACTGCCCACTTTGCCTTGCGCATTTTTTCAGTGTGGGAAATGGGATTTGTTGTTATGAGTAGCAATGTCAAGTGTGAGGAATAAGGACCATGGAATGTTTAACAAAGTGCCGATTTGTGTTTATTTATGTGTCATGTAACCATTTTCTCTGTTTCTGAATATGCTTCAGGGTTTGAGGGACACAACTGTGAGAATAATGTGGACGACTGTCCAGGTCACAAGTGTATGAATGGAGGAATATGTGTGGACGGAGTCAATACATACAATTGCCAGTGTCCACCAGAATGGACAGGTACAGTTTTTTAAATAGGTCTGAATGTACTGTATTTATCATTTTGATTGTGTTACAACCAATATGCTATCTCATCACTCTAGGACAATATTGTGCTGAGGATGTCAATGAATGTCTCATGCAACCCAATGCTTGCCACAATGGGGGTACCTGCTTCAATACTATTGGAGGCCATACTTGTGTCTGTGTTAATGGCTGGACTGGAGATGACTGCAGTGAGAACATTGATGACTGTGCAATCGCTGTTTGCTTCAATGGTGCCACTTGTCACGACCGCGTAGCCTCGTTCTTCTGCGAGTGTCCAGTTGGGAAGACAGGTATGCAGGCTTGCCAAATGTCTTCTGTCTCCCTTCCTGTAATAACTGCTGAATGAATATCAAATATGTTTGTTTGTGATTTTTAAACAGGTTTGCTGTGCCACCTTGATGATGCCTGTGTGAGTAACCCCTGCAATGAGGGTGCTGTGTGTGACACCAACCCATTAAATGGCCGGGCTATTTGTACCTGTCCTGCTGGTTTTGTGGGAGGTGCCTGCAACCAGGACATGGATGAATGTTCTATTGGTAAGTGTTCTATAGTTCTATGAGTTCTATAGATACACTTCTTTAATTTACACTAACTGGCCTTGGTTTCATTTCCTGATCATTTGCCTTCCTTCCCAACAGGTGCAAACCCATGTGAGCATTTTGGGAAATGTGTGAACACTGAGGGTTCCTTTGAGTGCCAGTGTGGTAGGGGTTACGCTGGACCACGCTGTGAGATTGACATCAATGAATGCAATTCCATGCCTTGCCAAAACGATGCCACCTGCTTGGATCGCATTGGAGAGTTTACATGCATTTGCATGCCAGGTATGTGGAACTGTAATAAAGCCAATAAACTGAAACAGATAATTATTCAACTTGATCGTATATGGACACATCATTGGCATTCTACCACACTGACTTCAAGTGTGGACTGTTATGTCACACTTTCCCACCAATATTAGAGGAACAGAGGGACAACTCTGTGCTCTGCGCTGCACTGTACAGCTGGCGGGGTATTCGTTTGGACTAAGTGATAGTTTGGACACTCAATGACAAAAACACAGTGAAACTCTCACGCACAGTCCTACATGCATCCTGGGGTTTTGGGAGCTATACAAATTAGAGCTGGGAGTTGGGTCTATAGGACTGGATGTGAGAGAGGGTGAGCAGTTAGGGGGAGGAGTGTGCCGTGAATACTAATAAGGGGTAGAGTGGTGGGAATGGAGTGGAACAATAGGGCCCCTCTGTGCTCCATTTTGCACCCCTCATAGACACAGAGAAGGAAAGAGGCTTTTTCCCAGAGCCCCCCCTCTTCATTTCCAGAGACAGAACCTTCCTCATCATCCTCCTCATCATCAGTCAGCCTGGCAAAGCTCATGTGGAGTTCCTGATTATTTTTGATTCCACGCTAGCCTCTCCCCAGGGGCAACACTCATTCACATTCTGTTTCACCTCAATGACGGAGCCCTCCATGGTTTGCGTACACAGAATGTGTAACATGTATTTGGTGAATGGGACTCTAACCCAGGGAGGGGAACTACTTCACGGACAGTAGGGTATGGTGATTCCAGGTCATTGGAGTGGGAACACTGGGGATGCTCAAGGGATCTTTTATTCTGTCTTATGGCTCAGCAGAGACTTGAGTCACAAATTCACTAGTGAAAGTTTTCCCACAGATTCCCTTCCCAGTATGCCGTCCATGGTACCACAGGCTGACATAGCCATTTATAATGTGTGAACATTGAATCAGCTACAACTGCAAAAACAAACTAAAACAAACACTTTGAACTTCTGTCTTCCAGGCTACATGGGGACTTACTGTGAGATCGACATAGATGACTGTGAGAGCAACCCATGTGTGAATGATGGCATCTGCCGGGATATGGTCAATGGCTTCACGTGCACCTGCCAGCCAGGTAGGCTTCACTGAATTACTCTGAGCTACAAAGCAAAAAAAAACTACAAACAGATACTCAAAGTTTAAATACCCCCAGAACTGGAGAAGGGAGGTCAGCCCCAGTACTTCTGTCTGCTGGTGTTTGGAGCCACCGCTTGAATAAAAAGGCAAGCCCAAAAGGCTGCCTATCCTCTTGCCTAAACAAAGGCCCTATTGTGACCCCCGCTTCCCTCCTCTGTGGAATGTGGAAGGGACAGCAGTCTCCCTCATCCTGCCTTGGTGGTTTTTGGGGGGGGGGGACAGCAGTCCTTCTAATGAGATTCTTTTCCAGGTCCGCAATTTACATCTGGGACAGACGTCCCCCCCACCCCCACCTTTATCTTGCTATTGAGCTTGTGGAGTTGATGCAGGCAGCAGAGGAGGAGGAGTGGGGTCCCCAAAAGAGAAAACAATCAGTCCGTCTCCTCTAAACCTCCCTTTAGCAACCCAAGCACCAACACACACAAACTGTCCTGACAGTGTTAATCAACTGAGCAGCTCTACCAATGCACCACTTCACCTCCTCCAGGGCACTGTGCCCAATCATTTCAAACCTGTTTAATTCATTCTCTTATTTCTTTATTTGTTTATTATTATTATTATTATTGTTGTTGTTATTGTTGCTTTTATTATTATTATTGTTGGTTTTGTTGTTTGCCGGACTTTCATTCCATTACTTTCATTCCACTACTTTGACGGGTAGTCTTTCTTTTTTTTAAACACCCTCATACACTTTTTGGTGTCCTCTCTCACCATTGGTCACAATACACAGATGCCGTGTCATTACCCAGCTAAGACGCATTACCCAGCTAAGATGCTTCCATATTCCACCTTAGCCAGACATATCCATAACCTAAACAGAGTTCCCTGCCCTTATAAGAACAGCCAAACTGCCCTCTGACCTTATTGTGGACCCTTTCACTGGACCGTCTGTCTGACCCTTAACCTCTATGTTTGCATGTCCCAGGGTTTACTGGCACCATGTGTCAAATGGACATAGATGAGTGCGCTAGCACACCCTGCCAGAATGGAGCAAAATGTTATGACCGGCCCAACGGATTTGAGTGCCGCTGTGCTGAAGGTAAGGATTCTTTTCGGAATAAAGGTTCCTCCAGTATAGTTGATGGGCACTGCTCCAGTCAAGCTCTCCTCACACAGAAGAGCAGATGATCCTGAACCTGATTATTGAGTGTTTTGAGGGGCGATCTATTTCTTTGAATGTATGCTGGCCAACCAGACTGACTCGAGGCCCCTAATCCCCCTCTTTCCCTCAGTGGTTCTTGGGATCATGAGGTCACTAAGCACCAGCAGTTGCTAAGAAAAGAGCTGTGGCCATCACCCCGACATCTGTTCATCTGTTCAAGTCCAACACAACACCTTATGCTGCATCTTAACTCATTCCTTTACATTCAACGATGTCCATAACTTAAAACACAGCCAGAACCATGGCCGGTTTAGTTAATCCAAAGGCTGTATATATAAGGTAGTTGCCAGTATACACTGATCTTAACATGTTTGTTTGCACCTACGCCCACGGAGGGGCTTGCTTCATTGTTTCAGTGGCCAGCTGCTTGGTATTCGCTGTGTTTGCGGGCCCCTTCTGTTGAGTGAAGTGCCCCTGTTTGACATGGTGCTGTCTATTGTTCCCTTCACCACCGAGAACAAAAGCAAGACTGGGAGGCCTGTGTAGGGCCCTTCTTTACTGCTTTGCCCAACTCAGCATCGCACTGTGCGCATACCAGACTGACCAGGAGTTGCCTGACCTACGGACATAGCTTAAATAGAATAGAATAGAGCAGTGGTCAGAGCTTTAAACTAAGCAAGATTATGAAAAGAAAGTGGAAAGCAGATTGTTGAAATGGAACATAGAGATGTGATGATTCTGATGATTCTGCTAGGTAGTAAACGATACCAGTGTGAAATTTAAGTCAAATCATCAATCAATAGAATTTAGGAGGAAAACATTGAACCCTGTTTGATCATAGGGAAGGCAAAAGCCAATAAGTAGTTGTCAGGCAGACAAAATGAAAACCTAAAATCTTTTTGTTCGTCCTTAGGTTATGAAGGGACCCTCTGTGAGAGCAATATAAACAACTGCCAACCTGACCCATGCCACCACGGTACTTGCATCGATGGCATTGCTAGCTACACATGTAACTGTGATGCTGGATACACAGGCTATCGCTGTGAGAATCAGCTGAATGAGTGCCACAGCAACCCCTGTCAAAATGGGGGCAAGTGCGTGGACCTGGTCAATAAATATATCTGCCAGTGTCAACATGGAACCTCAGGTAGGGGGAAACTCAACACTCACAGACAACATTCCATGTACATTTAAACTCTTTTTTTACGTGTAAAGTAATGACAACAATTTCAACATATTGAGTGTTTATACAAACCTAATGTAAAAACAAACTTGTCAATCCAGGTCCAAACTGTGAGATAAACTTTGATGACTGTGCCAGTAATCCATGTGATTATGGCATCTGCAAAGATGGCATCAATCGCTATGATTGTGTTTGCAAACCTGGATTTACTGGTAAGGCCCTTTTACTGGAAATTGCAAGCACACATTTCAGTTAGTTCCCAATAGATAATCCTAACTAACTGCTTTTAACTTTTCCCTTTCCAGGTCCCAAATGTAAAGTAGAAATAGATGAGTGTGCATCCAGTCCCTGCAGGAATGGGGGAACATGCGTTGATGAAGAGAATGGATTTCACTGTCAGTGTCCAGAGGGTTTTAAGCCCCCTTACTGTTACTCCCAAGTGGATGAGTGTGGCAGCAGCCCATGTGTACATGGTTCATGCAGGGATGATATAAATGGGTATGAATAATTCCCTCTTTTATCAAAGTTTATTGTCAGATTTAGTGTGACTAGTGCATGTCTAATCCTCTAGATTAAATTTTTTCCGTCCGGTCAAAACGGGTTAACTTCCACAGACTTGCATATTTAATTTAGTTGATTGTGCTCCTATTTTCCCAGTTACCGTTGTGACTGTGAGCCTGGATGGGTTGGGAAAAACTGTGACTTGGATAGAAATGACTGTTTGCCAAGCCCTTGCCAGAATGCTGGCACATGCATCGACCAGCTCAATGGTTTCATGTGCAAGTGTCGCCAAGGCTTCAGAGGTAAGAAAAGGCTGGTGAATTAGGCGAACATACAGTAGCAATGACCACAGAGAAGAACAATAATCATTCATAAGAAATCTGTTTGAAAATGGTCTTTCTGAATGAAATTGTCTGCCTCCCCCTAGGGGTGTATTATAAATATGAAAATACAGTTACTCACTGATCAAAATTGTGCTTTTAGTATAACTGCTCAATGTTTCCTCTCGATAGGTAACCTCTGTCAGGTGAACATCAACGAATGTGCCTCCAGCCCCTGTCTGAACAAGGGTACCTGTGTGGATGGCGTGGCGAGTTTCACCTGTTTGTGTGAACTTCCATATAGTGGACCCACTTGTGCTGAGGTCCTCACCCCTTGTTCCCCTAACCCCTGTGCCAATCATGCAGTCTGCACCCACACACCAGACTATTTGGGTTATCAATGCAACTGCCAGCCAGGGTGGCAAGGTAAGGAAAATTTGCACCAATCCTTTGTGACGTAATGTGTTATGAAGCTTATGAATTAAATCTCACTTTGCTCTTGTTTTGCAATCCTTAGGTCAGTTGTGCAACATAGATGTGAATGAATGCATTTCAAACCCCTGCAAAAACAGAGGGACGTGCACTAACACGCTTGGAGGCTTCGTATGCTCCTGCAGAGCAGGATACACCGGGCTCACCTGTGAAACAGACATCAATGACTGTGTTCCGAGTGAGTCACTGATAATCATAAGAGCAGAAACATTATACCTGTCTGTAGCTTTCAGTCAGAATATTTGTTGTACTTAACCAAAGTAATTTCCTCCTGTTGCAGATCCTTGCCTAAGTGGAGGCTCGTGCTCAGACGGTGTGAACTCATACCACTGTAGCTGCTTACCAGGCTTCACAGGTCCCCAGTGTGCTCTAGAAATCAACGAATGCCAGAGTTTTCCCTGCAGAAATGGGGGCACTTGTACAGACTATGTTAACTCGTACACTTGCACATGTCGCCCTGGTTTTACTGGCATTCACTGTGAAATCAACATCCCTGACTGTACCGAGAGGTGTGTGTTTGTTTCATGAGAATCCTCATGTTTTATTTGTGCATATACTCAACGAAGTGCTTCACATGCTATCAGATTTTGCTAATCCTAGTGTTTATTTTTCACTCATGCCCACAGCTCTTGCTTCAATGGAGGGACATGCACAGATAAAGTCAATGGCTATTCCTGTACCTGCCGGCCAGGCTTCACTGGCTCCCATTGCCAATATGAAGTAAATGAGTGCAACTCCCAGCCCTGTCTTAATGGCGGCATCTGTCAAGATGCACTGGAGTCCTTCCGTTGCTCTTGCCCCAAGGGCTATACTGGCAATCGCTGCCAGGTACAAACAATTAAACATTAAACTTTTGATAAGTCTTGTTTGGAAATTCAGTGCTAAAATATTTCCCTCTTTCCTTTCCAGACACCAGTCGATTGGTGCAGACGATCATCTCGATGCCAAAATGGAGCACGGTGTCGCCAAAAGGACGCTTCTTTCATCTGTGAATGTCCTAATGGTTGGTCTGGACAATATTGTGACATCCCCAGAGTCTCCTGTGAGATAGCTGCTCTCAAGCGAGGTATATTTTTTTGCACTTTTGATTTTTTCTTCCAGTTTTTTACAGTTGATTAAACAAAGCAAGTAAAAAAAATGTAAAACTTTAATTTTCCTTATTAGGGATCCAAACAGATGAACTGTGTGACCACGGAGGCCACTGTGTTAACACTGGGAATACCCACTATTGTAAATGTCCGTCTGACTACACTGGAAGCTATTGTGAAAGTCAAGTTGATCACTGTGAGGACAAACCTTGTCACAATGGCGCCACCTGCAGGGGATATGTTGGCGGGTACCAGTGTGATGTGAGTCCATCATGTTGAATCACTGTGCTGTTTATGGTCAAATTTCATCATAACTAATATTCACTAGTAATGTTTTCACAGCCCTGAAAATAACATGCTTACCATTTGCCTGTCGTTGCAGTGCATGCCCGGCTTTACTGGACAGAACTGTGAGATAGAAATCAACGAGTGCCAGTCTCATCCATGCCAGAATGGAGGCACTTGCATTGATTTAGTGGGTCATTACATCTGCTCCTGTCCTCCTGGCACTCTGGGTATGCACTAATGATAGCTATTAATGATGTTTCATCATAATAAAACTGGAAGCAATACACATGTAATGGTTAATGATGCTTTCTTTTAAAGGTGTTCTCTGTGAGATCAATGAAGATGACTGTGCTCCACCCCTGAGGCTGCGCAGTGCTCCACCAAAGTGCCTGAACAATGGCACCTGTGTGGATAGAGTTGGGGGGTATCGCTGTAATTGCCCCCCTGGTTTCACCGGAGAAAGATGTGAGGGAGACATAAATGAGTGTCTCTCTAACCCCTGTAGTCCTTTAAACAGTCTTGACTGCGTCCAGCTGCCCAACGATTACCTTTGTGTTTGCAAGCCTGGCTTTACAGGTTCGACCATTCATCTAAACATCTTATTGCCCTCTCTCTGTGTTTTCTGTGTGCACAAAATAGTAAAAGGTATCCTGTCTATATGTCATTTTTAGGTCGGAGGTGTCAGAACAGGTTCAGTGTGTGTGAGTCTCAACCTTGTCAAAATGGAGGAGCCTGTTCTGTAACCAGCAGTTCTTCCCTGGGATATACCTGCACATGTCAGCTGGTAAGTCAACGGTCCCATTCTAATTGTATTTTTCTGTCCCTAAAATGCTTTATTATTCAATGCATTCATTTATCCAGCATGTACCAGTCATATAATATACAAACATTTCTCATTTTAGGGTTACACTGGTACCAATTGTGAAAGAAACATGTCCTGTCGAGATCTGTCTTGCTATAATGGAGGAAGTTGTACACGTACCGCAAAAGGGGCACGTTGCACCTGCCTCCCAGGATACGGCGGACCCCAATGCCAGCATCGCAGTAATGAAGGGTGCTCCTCCAAGCCCTGCCAGAATGGAGGGTTGTGCACTGAAGAGACCAGCTACCCGTTCTTCCACTGCCAGTGTCCAAGTGGCTGGACAGGCAAACGCTGTGAGCAGGGCGGCCTGTCCTTTGAGCCTTCATGCCCCGTGGCTGACTGTCATAACAAAGCCAACGACAGTGTTTGTGACAGGGAATGTAACACGTACCTTTGTCGCTGGGACGGAGGGGACTGCTCTCTCGCAGTGAACCCCTGGGCTCGTTGCACAGACCCTCTGTGCTGGCGTGCCTTTAACAACAGTCAGTGTGACGAGTCTTGTAACAAAGCTGAATGCCTGTATGACAACTTTGACTGCAGAAACAAGGAAAAAGTTTGCAAGTAAGTTTACTTTTACAAAAAAGGATTGATTTGATTTATACTTACACGAGAATACATGAGCTGATAATTTTTTTTTGTATTGTCTCCAGTCCCATATATGAAGCCTACTGCATTGACCACTACGCTGATGGGCTGTGTGACCAGGGCTGTAACACAGAAGAGTGTGGTTGGGATGGATTGGACTGTGCGCGGAAGATTCCAGAAGAGCTTGCAGATGGTGTCTTGGTTCTGGTTGTGCTTCTGCCTCCAGAAGAGCTTCTTCGTACCGGCACAGCTTTTTTGCAGAAATTAAGTGCCATTCTGCACACCTCAGTACGCTTCAGGCTGGATCACAATGGAGATGCAATGATTCTCCCCTACACCCGCAGAGAGGGACGCTTCAAGCGGGAATTAGAGCCTCACCAGGAAGTCATCGGGTTAGTCAGACATACAGCTAATATAAAAGATGGTTTCCTTTCAGGTGGAGTCTACATTATCATAAACACCTGTATTTCTGCTTATTTGTAGGTCCAAAGTCTATGTGGAGATAGACAACCGTCTGTGCTCTCAGGACTCAGTGGATTGTTTCCCCACAGCAGACAGTGCTGCAGAATACTTGGGAGCGCTCTCCGCAGTAGAAATGCTCCGCTTCCCGTATCCCCTCAAACAAGTCCGCGGTGAGTGAGAATTCTGACTGGCTACATAAATGAGGCACAAAAAGTACTGGTTACATTAACAAAGTGCAAAAATGTAATTACGTGCTCTAATCCCACCACAGGTGAAAAGATCCCACCTGCTGAGGACCCCATTCCCCAGTGGGGGAAGCTGATGCTGGCAGGGATAGCGTCTGTTTTTGTGTTGGTCATCCTCTTGATAGGCATGCTGATTACTCGTAGAAAGAGAGAGCACAGCACCCTCTGGTTCCCTGAAGGCTTTTTCGTCAAGAAGGAACCCAGCAGTAACAAGAACCGCAGAGAACCTGTGGGTCAGGATGCTCTCGGCATGAAGTGAGTTATTAGTGTTGTTGGCATGGAATAATGAATCCAGTCTGGGGTGGATTTTTTTGTTGAATTTGTTTTCATGAATTTACATTGTTCCATATTTTTGTTTGTAAACAGACACATGCAAAAAACTGTTGAGGAATCTCTTCTTGGAGATCACAGTGATCAGTGGATGGACCCGGACTGCCCAGAACCAAAGCGACTCAAGGTTAGTTACAGAACTTTTTTCAAATACATTCTTACCATGACTTTTCTTGTGTATGTGTATACTTAGACATGTTGTTCTGTTAATTTAGGTAGAGGAGCCAAGTATGCTGTCAGACAGTGAAGGTGCAGTGGACTGCAGACAGTGGACACAGCATCACCTTGCAGCTGCAGACATTCGTGTACCACCCACCATGGCCCTCACACCACCTCAAGGAGAATTTGAAAGCGATTGCATGGATGTTAATGTCAGAGGCCCAGGTTAGTGGTGGGCTTATTATCACTCTTATTATTGTAGTAATTTTTTTAACCTATTAATATTGATACCATATTGCTACATTTTACATTGTATTGTCCCATTCTGGATATTATATTTTTATATTTTATTTAATCAGGAAAACATCAGAGTACTTTTTTGCTAGAACATTCTGGCCACTTTAAACATGGATTTGTACTCATATTGTATACATTCTGCAGGTTAATCAGTTCCTCTTTTCATCTTCCAGATGGTTTTACACCCTTGATGCTGGCATCTTTCTGCGGAGGCGGCTTAGAGCCTGAGGTGGCAGAGGAGGAGGAGAATGAAGAGTGTTCTGCCAACATCATTTCTGACTTGATATACCAGGGGGCATCCCTTGCTGCCCAAACGGACCGCACTGGTGAGACAGCGCTCCACCTGGCAGCCCGCTACGCCCGCGCCGATGCTGCAAAGAGGCTGTTGGATGCTGGAGCAGATGCCAACGCTCAAGACAATACAGGACGTACCCCGCTGCATGCAGCAGTGGCTGCAGATGCCCAGGGTGTCTTCCAGGTAACCAGACTGTACCGTGTTGTGCTAATATTGCAACATTAGGCATTAAGCATTAGTAGCAGGCATGCCGGCAAGCTCCTCTGTTCTTACGTGTGGCATTTGGCACAGATGTAAAAATGATACCACCTAAATCTTTACCACCTGTTTAGATTTTGATTCGAAATCGAGCCACGGATCTTGACTCTCGTATGTATGATGGCTCAACTGCACTGATTCTGGCTGCACGACTGGCAGTAGAAGGCATGGTTGAGGAACTCATCACTTGTCATGCTGATGTTAATGCAGTGGACGAATTGGGTAAATATGTGTGGTCTTTCACTTAATATTCCAGCACTCATCTTTCTCTATCCCTGTTTGTCCAAAAACAACTGGCGTGTTTTTCACTATGTGCTCTCACTTGCAGGTAAATCTGCTCTGCACTGGGCAGCTGCTGTTAACAACGTGGATGCCACTGTCGCTCTCCTGAAGAACGGAGCAAACAAAGATATGCAAGATCTCAAGGTGTGTTATCAGTATACACAGTTTTTAAAACACAACAATGCGTTAACTTGAACTTAATAGAAAAGACATATTTGTTTTGAACACCGCCTGTTTATTCAGTCTTTCCTCGTTTTCTTTTTTCTAGGAAGAAACCCCTCTTTTCCTTGCAGCCCGGGAGGGCAGCTGTGAAGCTGTGAAGGTGCTGCTTGCTCATTTCGCAAACAGAGAAATCACTGACCATATGGACAGGTTGCCAAGAGACATTGCTCAGGAGCGCATGCACCATGACATTGTGCAGCTTCTTGATGAGTACAACACAGTAAGGAGCCCCCAGGGCCATGGGGGAGCTGGACACCACCTCACCGGGGGGCACACCCTGTCCCCACTCATGTGTCCACCCAGTGCCTTCCTGCCCAGTCTAAAGAACACCCCACAGGGTAAGAAGAACCGCCGGCCAGGAGCCAAAGGTTCCAGCCTGGGAAGCCAGCATGCTGCCAATCTAAAAGAGTCAGTCAAGGCTCGCAACAAGAAGCTGACCCTGGACATGCAGAGTGCCTTACTGGATAGCTCAGTGACTCTGTCTCCCGTTGACTCACTGGACTCTCCCCATGGGGGAGCTAGCAACGCTGGCTATATGACCAATCCAACTTCTCCTGTGGCCATGCAGTCACCTGGGCTGTTTCACTCCTCCATGTCAGTCCCAAACACTCCAATGGTCCACAGTAGCATGCTGGAAGGAGGGGGGCCCTTTGCTGTGTCTCTGGCGCAAATCAATGATCTGGGAGCTGGGGGAATGTCCTTGCAGGGTCCCGTCACGATGGCTTCAGACGTTAGCCACGGCTACGTGCTGAGCTCCGGGCAGATGGGGCTCAACATGGGCATGGTCAGTCCGGTCAGTGTGCCTTTTGACTGGCACAGCCGCATGCCCCCCTCCTCCCAGTGTGGTCAGCAGGTGGTGAATATTGTGCATAATAGCCAGGCAGGCATGCACCCCCAAAGTCCAGCCATGCAGCAGCAGAGCATGTTGATGCACCAGCAGCAGCTCTATCGCAGCCCCATGCTCCAGCCCACACCCGTCTCCTCCACCCCCACCATCAGCCCAGTCAAGCTGCCCTCCATTGCTGAGCAGCAGCAGCAGCAGCAGCTCATCAATCACAGTATCGCCAACCAGCAAAGTATTGCCCGAATGGGCACTTCCACCCCTCCAACACCCCAGACCTCCCAGCCCCCACCACCCTTTTTCCAGCAGCAGCTGCCTCAGCAGCCCACTCAGTCACAGCCTCCCGCCCAGCCCCCCCAAGGAGCCACACAGGCCGCCCTGCCCACCCAGGTCCTTCCCTCCCAGCCAAGTAGCAGCACCGCAGGAAAGGAGGATTATCCAACCCCTCCCTCCCAGCACAGCTACTCATCCACGTTAGACGCCACACCCAAGCATTACCACAATTTGTCCAGTGAGCACCCCTATCTGACCCCTTCTCCAGAGTCTCCTGAGCACTGGTCCAGTCCCTCCCCACACTGTGTCTCTGATTGGTCAGATTCTACGCCCAGCCCACCGGTCGCTGTCTCCAACCAGACCCAAATTACTCAAATTCCAGATGCCAATGGCAAGATGCAAGTGTTTGCGTGAAGATTCTATGGCTATTGCCTGAAAAGGGACCTGGAGTAAAAAACAAACAAACAAACTTTGGACTGGCTCTTTGGCCTTTCTGTGTTTTATATGTCAGCCTGTTTCCAAGATTTTCATTGGATTTGGATTGACACTCTTTATCACGCGGACCGTCTGCCAGTGATTTTTGCAGAGGAGAAAAAAAAAGTAAAGGGAAATGTGTGTTGTCTGAAAAAAGCAGACAATTTAATGAAGTAATTCTGTCACAGATGGACTTGTTTTTTATTATAAAAAATGTATATGAAGAAAACCAAGTCTTTAATTTGAAAGACATTGGGACACTCCTAAAAACTAACAAACATTTTAAAAGTAGATAAGAGATAAAGAGAAATGTTGAAGGGAATTCATTTATTTTTATTTATTGTTTTTATCTATCTGAACTGCTTTTTAGTTTTTTTGTTCGTTGTAGCTTCTCATATAAAGTGCCATCAAGATGTTAAACTGGGTTCTAGCAAATACATTTCAAGAGTTGCTCTGCAGTAGTGATGCTTGCCTGAGTTGTGGTAAATAATTACTTTCTATGAGTATTATGAGCAAGAATGTAGATGAGTGTCTCTGAAGCACTTCAAGTGACCAGCCTCAAAGGGCAAGTCTAAGTCAAAAACAACATTTGACTTCAATTAATATTTATAATATATGGAGGGCATTTATAGTTGATTTGCCTTATAATCTTTAAGAAAAAAGGAAGAAGCAGATACAAATTTTTAAGTGTGATGCTTCCATTTCGCAGCCTCTCACAGTTAATAAATATTCTTACTGCCAGTTTTTCTGCCAACTCTGATAACTTTTAAGCATTTCTTGTGTATTTATGTTTCATACGTTACTCTTTTATTTCATGTATAACGTTTGCCTTTAAAATCAGCCACTCACTGCCCTCCTGTTTTGTTTTTCGGTTATTTTATATTCTGTATATTTTGTGGAGAACCATGGACATTTTTTTTTTTTTTAAAACATCACTTTAGATGTATTAAGCTATGCTTATATCAGCTGCTATTTTCTATCACTCTTCCCTGCAAACATTCCTCCAGTGTCCCCCGCTCGCTGAGTTTGGACGCTGTGCCTCGACATCCGACACAGAACAGAACAGGACGACGGGCTGGTTGAGGTTCTGGAGCCCTTATCCTAAACGGAGCATCTGCTGGCGTCTGCGGTGGGCTTTTGCTCAGTGCGAGCGTGCGGCTGCTGGGCTGTGACTGCTTATGCCGTGTCACTCCTCAGGGAGGTGTTTAATGGCATGCAGAGGAAATAGTTCCCCTGCATCTACAGTAGCTTCCTGTCCAGGGGCCATGGAGCCGCATCTTTAGAAGATTGTTAAAAAAAAAAAAAGACTGAGGAAGAAAACACTACTATGTAGTGCTGCACCCTTAAACTTTTTTGCAAAATTCTGAGATGACACTGCAAGTCATGCTGAGGGCTTGTAAAACGCCTGACCAACTCTTTCCTGAGCATGTAGGAGAGCTCATACTCACTTTAACATTGCATGCACGTTTGGACAAAGCCTGTTGATAACGATAGAATTTTGAGAAAGTAACTTTTGCATTTGTATCTTCTCTCATCATAAGCAGAGATGTTGAGGCCACCGCTCCTAGCGACTACTTCTGTGGTGACCCACACATTGCCCCTAGTTGTGTCATAGTTGGAGTGAATCTTTTATTCATTTTCTTATCCTGTTCATTATAGAATCTGATACTATTTTGTCAGACATGGGAAGCACGGTGTTTATGGTCCAATTTCTATTTTACTTACAAGTAAAACAGTTATTTCGTTTGTTTGTTTTAATGTTATATATAACTGGTCTTACTATTTCGCCACCAGCTCGCACTAAGTGTTTTGTACATTCAACCTCTCAGTTTCTGTTTGTAAATATGTTTGTTTTGGGTAGATCATTGCTTGAGAAGTCTTATGTTTCTAAGATAACTGTTATGTACTAAAAAGAACAAAAATAAAGTGTACTTCATTTAGCATTATTTGAAGCCGAGGCTGGGATTGATGTTTCATTGGTCTTGTAATTAGAAGTCATAGATATTTTTCTGTCATTATTCCTTTTTGTACTTTGTTAAAAAATAGTTCAAATCTTTGTATGAAAAATTCCATCAACAGATTTTCTTTCGACGGTCAAAAGTTGTAAAATACGTCACTTATAATAAAAGCCTGTAGGGAACTGCATTTCCACGTCCTAATGTTCAGTAAGTGTTCTTTTATCAGACACCGTTCAAAAATACAACCAGTGTTTATCCGTTACCCTCTGGGTAGTTTTTAAAACTGTATTGTCGCATCTTTAATCTCACCTGTAGCCTCGATTCATTGTAGGACATGAATTTTCATTCTCCTTAATCCATCTTAGATGTGAGCACAGTAAAAAATAAACCGCTTTTTTGCAGGAAAAAATGAGAAAATACCTTTTTCCTGGTCTATTCTGCACTAAAGATGGCAGCATTTGCTTTTGAAGCGGCACGCTACAGGACTGGAAACTAATTTTGCTCTCCAGCTTTGATTCCCAGCTTCCTGGGCCGCATGTTAAGCTGCCTCTGATAGACACAGATATGGAAAAACGTATGTAGACACAAATGTGTAAAGAGAATCAAATTAAATGAATGACACAAAAGAAGAATATTTCAAAAACATTTATAAGAGCTTTACTATAACTTTGGAACACAAGGAAGATAAGGCTTGTTTAGTTAGTTTAAATAGGACAACAAAGTCATTGCACCAAGCAGCCAAATATACATAATGTTATAAATTGAACTACTGCTTGTTTTTACTCAGTTTAAAGACAGATAGGGGTTGTTGTTTTTTTCAACACTTAACTATAAGGAAATATGCTAATTTCAAGTAGTTTTTTTATTAAAAGTATTACAGTAAAAAAGATGTAAATGTAATCTTTGTATTAACTTGGTTTTAAAAAGCACACACTCTATGCCTGCTCCAACTGCACTAAGATCTATCACAGTGTATGCAAAATCCTTACAGACAAGTAAATACCATTTTTAGAGTTTTGTTGAATTGTTCAAATTAAACAATAAAGGGTAAGGGACGTTATAATTCTAAAAAAGAAAAAAAGGAGGGATGATCAGAAGTTGAAGCTGAAATCTAACATTTTTGTTGTTCGCTTTAGCCAAACCATCATGGTTTCCCTCCCCTCCTCTTCAGCATGCGAAGAACCCCGAGAGTAGCGTTGAACACGCTGTCATGCTTAAAGATCATCTTGTAGAACGTGTCCAGAGGCAGCCGGCCTGTGGGGTCAGCGTGCTTCAGGGCGGTCATGGGCATGTACAGGCGGTTGGTCTGGTGGCGCAGAGGGGGCTCTTTGGCTGTGATCACTTTAAGGGTTTGCTAAATAGTGAAAAAAAAAAGAGAAAACACAAGAAGAAGCTTCTTCATTAGACCCCAACACTGACAAAAAACTAAATGTAATCAGAAATGTTGGCTCTTACTTCAGCCACTTCCTCGGGGGTCTGGCCTAACGAACTGAAGACCTTCTTAGAGTACGGCAGGTAGATTTCCCGGAAGATTCTTGCAGTCTCCTCATCAGTCTCTGACAGATCCATCTGCTCAGCATCTTCATACACTTTCCTTTCAAACTCTGTCACCACGGGACCAGGTTCCACTAAAGTGGTCCTAGTGACAGGGATGGAAAACAGAAAGCTAGGACCAGTGTTCCATTGCAGGCATTCAGCTAGAAAGATCTTACCGATGTTAGCTTACTGATAACTCAAGTTCTACTTGTGGGCGAGTTGCATTGCATGTATTTTTTTCAGGACATGTAATCACTTGATGTTAAACTTCATCGCTTGCACTGCCAGACTTTCACAAAATCCCTCCACGGCAAATTTAGAGGCGGAATAGACATCATTGAACAAGAGTCCTGTGTGGAGAAATAAGGAGACATATAAGCAACCTTCAGGCTGTCCTAAGGCTTCTCTTTTAGCCTGTCCTGGGATTTCCCAACAGCAAATCAACACACCTTGTATTCCCATGACACTGCTCATCACCACAATGTGGCCGCTCTTGCGCTGCTTCATGTCGGGCAACACCTCTTTAACCAGGCGCGCCAGACCAAAGAAGTTGGTATCAAAGAGCTCCTTCATGGCCGCGATGCTCTGACACTCCAGCGGTCCGATCATGCCAGCACCAGCGTTGCTCACTACAGCGACACCATGTTCCACGTTAATACACACTTGTAAAAGAAATTCCCTTGTGGCATGTCTGTGAGATAAAGAGGTGACAGACCCAGGACATCCACTTGTCTGTTGGGCAGGCTGTCCACACACTCTTTGATGGAGGCTTCACTGCAGGCGTCCAGCTTTTTGATTTCCAGGGTTTTGTGTAAAGAATCCCCCGCTGCTGTCTCCAAAGGGCCCCGTTTCCCAAGATCCCTCATCGTGGCGACCACTGTAGGAGACAAAGGTGTGCACAGGATGCCAGTATTGTCAGTCTCGCCTATCCTCTCATTATTTGGCGGAATTAGTGGCCGAGCGAAAGGCTGACTGACCTTTATAGCGTCTCAGCTCATCTTTGGCCAGTCGTACAGCCAAAGCCAGGCCAATACCAGAGGAGCACCCAGTCACCAGCACTCTTCTAGGTCCCATCCTTTGTGACTTAATAGCTGGACTCAGTTTGTCTGCAGATATCTGCCAATTCAGGACATATGATGTTACTGACAATAGCATGCTAATGAAAAGCTCTGCAGTTGCAGTGTTTGAGTAACAACCACTGAAGTACAGTAGGATTTAACATTTTTATCAATTATTTCATTCATAAGGTATTTTAACTAAATGTTTCTGCTAAACAGCTAATCCAAAAAGACAGCTATCACCTGACAATCCCAAAAGTCATCATTAAACTGCAGTCTACTGTAACAAACGTGTCATCATTTCCATATAACTGCTTGGAAATGTATGGAACACAACACATTAAATCCCATTTTGGGAGAGGCAGTACTTCTTCTGGCATCCGGACGGAGTGTGTGTTATTTGTTTCTAATCTCTAATCTGATTTGTGTGTAATGGAATGTTAAACTACTTACAAAGCCAAATGGTTACATCTTAAAACAGGATTAATATATATAAGACAAGATTCTCAGAATAAACAGTGTGATCTATGATGTGTGTTCAAATGATTAACATAAGTAATATGAGTTGTAATTTGAGAAATGAATATTTAAATAAATAAAAAAGGTATATACCCCATTTCAATGAAACCAAAGAGATGATGGTTTTCACATTCACTAAGAGTGGAAATATAATTTGAATAAACCTGTAACACCATTGCTCTTTTATGATGATTTTTATAAATGTCATGTAATCACAACCACAAGATATATTTTACATATTTTCTAACGTGTTGCGTTAAGAGCTCTTTACACTGCTTATAAATTGCATACTCAGTGGGGGGAGTTTCATAGGTGAAATTGTACAAGTGATAACATTTCATTCTAAACTGGGGAGAAACAGAATTACAGGCTAACCTAAAGGACGATATTTTAAATAGAATCACTAACAACTCACAACATAAATTATAGCCAAGGTCACTCTAAAGCTGCGGACACACAGCCGGACACGTAGAGGCCAGCAGATGTTGTTGTTGTTGGTGTTGTTGCGGGATACCGACCTGAGGGGCAAGCAGAGCCTTCTTCTCTGGATATGGAACTAGAAATAAAAATAGACAGCGCGGACTGGCTCGGTAGTTGCAGAGAGAAAACACTACCAACTCCCCAACTACGGGACGCGAAGCTCCATAAGCTCAGGGATTACTTAAATGGGTCATGTCGGCTCAGCATGGGAGTTGTAGTTCTTTAGAGTCGCAACCACTTTGGTTTTAAACCACCGGACACTCGCTGGCGTTGGGTTTTTAATTGTCGTTTTGCGCCCTCGGCGCTGCCTAATGTTTCCTGCAGGGGGAAGAAAAGTGCTGTTTAGCACATAAACAGAGTTCCTGGTTGGATGAATAAAGACGTGCGTGTCCAGCCCAGCTGGTGTTCACACTGTTGAGCCTGAAAAACAACTCAGCCACACAGCGTTTCGCTAATTGCTGCAGTTCGTCACAGTGACCACTGGAGGGCGCCCTCTGGCTGAGTCCAACTTCGTTTGCATATCAATTAGTAGAAAAGGTAACACTCTTCACTGTTTCAGAACTCGTCCTCTTCCCACCCGGAAGGAGCTGCGTGGGGTGTGTGGTTGGTTAGCACATTTTCCACTCAGCAAGAGAGTACCAGGCTTAAAATCTGGGTAGCAGGGGGCCCTCTCTGTGAGCACATTCTCTCTGCGTATGTGTCTCTGTGGCCTCTCTGAGATCCACTGGCTTCCTCCAACTATCCAGGAACTAACATGCAACTGTAAGAGGAAGTGTGTCTGTTGTGTACTCTATTTTGTGTCCATACGTTTTTGCTTTGACTTGTCCCGGGTCGCCTCTCGCCCCAGCCATAGGCTCCAGCAGCACCCCCTTGACCCTAAAGCACGTCTGGAAAATAGATGAATGACCGCTTCACCGTTTGATTAATAGACTCCTGTTATTGTGACTTTGTCATCAGAGCAAACACAGGTGATGTTATTGGAGTTATTAATGGCTGGCTAATCCCACAACTGTGGGGCCTCCCTCAGCAGAATGAGGCCCCACCTTTTATTTTTGTGTGCTAACAGACCTGCTGGCATTCCTTATAGCAAGAACACAGTGATAAATGACAAAGCTGATTCATATTCACGTGAGCAAAAATGTCTTATATAAGGACCTAGGCCATTTTTCAAAATGATGGACAAAGCTGCCTGGCCTCCGTTTTGTAAGATTAGGTGGGTTCCACCTTCCACTGCAATGTGCTTTGTCCCCAAAGATAAAAGAAAACTCTAAATATTGAGCTGCTGCTGTAGGCTCCTCGGGTTACTAAACCCCTTGATAAGTTCTTTGTGTAACTCAAGATTTTTTGTCAAAGGAGTGTGTTCTTTCACATGCAATGACCAACAATGTGCTTACATAACTATTGTGACTAATAGTATATTATCGAATGACAGCATGGCTTTATTTTGCCATTCAAAAAACTCTTCCATATGTATCCTTGTAAATATTAATTTTATTGCCTGCTTTTGTAAAGTATCATAGTTTGAATTATCATTTAATGATACAGAACAACAACACATGTTTTTGTAATCTTGTTGTTTTTATGGGCTAAAAGAGTTTAATTGACATTCAGTTATTTTATATCTTTATCTATTGTCATTTTGATGGGATACAATGCAAGAAACCAGCTTTTTTATGGTTGAGAAGAGTCCTGTCCACTGTACATGGGCGTGTTTGAACATTGTGTTTTATGTTGGGTATATTTTCTAAAGACGAGAACAAACAGCAGAGATCTGAGGTAGTACAGGATTAACACTTGTATTATGTGGCCTTCAACAAAAGATGCAATCAATGTCACTAATTCTCTTGAGAAATGAACACTTACACATTCATTATTTTAGTTTTAGACATGTGTTTTTGTCTAGCGTGTGAGACAGAGTTAAGGGGGTCATTATAATATAGTCTGTACAATGCAGTGGTAAATAATATGGCATGGGAACAAAGCTACTTCCTCACATGTTGTACCATCTGATCTGAAAAACAGAAGATCTTATCGCATAGTCTGCATATCAGTTTTTCTGAAAAGATAGAACTTTAACAGTTTGTAAATTGTTAAAAACCCTAGAAATAAGCGCTGTACACAATGGACGATAGACATTCATCTTACAGTGCAGTGTTTGATAGAAAGAGCAAAAATCCCATAGCATTGCAAAGTTATGCTTGGAGACACACTAATTCTTATTTTACCATCAGATTTTCTTTTACAGTACAAAGGCGTACACCCATATGTATGTAAATGCACACATCACACATCACTGGAGGTCCTAACTGACCCCTAATGATGTTTCCCACTGGAAGATTTTTTGGGAGGATTATTTGCCTTTGTTACATGTTAGGTTACAACATTTAAATGACACAGCAGTTCCTCTCAGATTACATTGCATTTGCCACGATTTTTCATTGGTCTCTACACTTTGTTGTCTGGTTTGTGTTATGAGTTCAGGGAGTGGCCAGTAAACCTTTCATAACCGAGAGCAGATAAATACTCGTTTCAGACCAAGCTGGAAAGACACCGCCTGGTAATGCTGAGAAAACTGCAATCTGCCACAATGTAAGTTTTACTTTACAGATGCCCTTCAAAGAAAATAACAGAGATGTGTTGATGTGTTAGCTTTTTGTTAGTCTTGCACATATATCTTGTTTTAACTAAGCGCATGATAAAAACACTCCACATGTTTGTTTCAGGATGTATCTTACAGCACTGGTTGGCTTCCTGCTGGTTCTCACAACCGAGGCCAGAGTTGGGTAAGTGAAGAGTGTGTGGGGTTGGGAACTTTTTTTATTGTGTCTTGGATCATCTTATTTTGGCTTGACCTTTTATATCTAACAGTGTCTGTGTCAGTAAGTTTCAAAACTATATTCCCTCTTTTTTTTTCTCAGAAACTCCTCTCAGTTGGAGTTCTGCACTGAGACGGAGGAGTGCCTGCTGTTTGACCTGATGTGTGAGACGGACAAATACGAGGTGAGTGTGTGCGCAGCAAAGGAGGCCTTTGGCCTTTCAGACGCACCGAAAAGACTCACCACACACGCTCGTGCATGTCTCTCAGGTTCGTCACTATGGCTCTGTGAAATGGGTTTCAACAGACATCAATTCTTACGCCATGGAATTCGCTGCACCGAGGGCTTTTATGAGGCTCTTTAAATACATCAAGGGAGAAAACGAGGGTGGTACGTACCCCTTTTCACATTTTCACTTCCTCTTCCCTAGTTCCTAATTACAGAAGCTTTGATAAAAAGTTCTCTTTGTAATACATATCAACTTCAAAGACACAGTTGTTATAAATAAAGTATGAATAAGCAATGCAGAAAATCATTGACAAACTTTGCATTGATTTAGATTGTATTTTTACACTTTCACTTGTTTTAATCAGTTTTCATTATATTAAATCAAAGTCTTTAAAAGAGATAAGGAGATATAAACTCTTTATTTAGCCACCTATTCAGCTTCTCTTTCAATGTGGGTTTTAGTGACATTTACAATGATTTTGACATAACCTAATAGCCATTTGTGTCGTATTTGAACAAGTGAACAGGACATAAGTTGTTTTTATTGTAAGAATAACTACTTTTTAACTGTTCTTCACTTTCAGGAAAGAAAATCCAAATGACTTCTCCTGTCCTTGTGAAAATTCCTGAGAAGAAATTTTGGGAAAGAGGAGCGTTCACCATGAGTTTCTTGCTGCCATCTGAACATCAGATGAATCCTCCCAAACCTGCAAATGATGACGTACGCTCAGAGTTCTTACAATTATGTTTGGATCCTTTCCTTTGAAGTCAAGCTGTGGCAGTTAATGTAGCTATGACAACTTTCAGGTTTACATCAAGGAGATGCCAGAAATGAACGTGTACGTGATGAGCTATGGTGGATGGATGTCGGGAATGGCCGACGGCAGCAAATCCAAGGAGCTGGCCTCTGCACTGGACTCTGTTAATGCAAAATACACTAAAGGATTCCACTGCGCTGCTGGATATAACAGGTAATATCATCACACCATTCAGAAGACAAATGTTTGAAAAAGGTTTTAAAAAACCATCAGTAGGCAATTTTTCTTTCCAAAGTAAATGTTTGTGTGTTTTCTTTGTCTTTGCAGTCCAATGACCATGTTCAACAGACACAACGAGGTGTGGTACGCTGTTGAAGGAGACCCTGTGTGCCCCAGCAACTAAGCACCTGGTCCCGTCTCTCCTCTCGCTTGGAAATCGTGACCCTGTGCAGCAGCAGTTTACTGCATTCCACACATATGGAAATGTGTTGTAGTAGAACAGATAACTTTAGATGCATATGAATACATTTTCACTCTTTTTTTTCTAAATTCAATAAAGTTACCTTTTCGCAATTTTTTGTCTGCACGTTCATAATTTGTTCACCTTTTTGCACGGTGGTAAGGCGGCCTGTGAGTGGTCGGATTGCAGAAAAACCAACCAGGGTGGATTACTGAGTGGGGTTTGTTTTGTGCTGATAAACTCTGCCTCGTCTTACATTATAAGCATTTGGAGCATTCTTCCAGTGAGTGCTTTTTAAAAAAGTTCAAATGATCTTGAATAATGACTCCAAATTTATATTTAAAAAAATATATATTAAAATTCCATTTTTAATTACTTACTCAAGCACATTTGTAATTAAGAGGCATGTTCTCCAGCCGCGACCCAACTGGGACAAAGCAGAATAGTTAAAGGATGAATGAATGAAAACGCGGGCAGCTTTCTGTGTGGAGTCTGCATGTTCTCCCTGTGTCTGCGTGGGTCCTCTCCAGGTTCCCCGACTTCCTCCAAAAACCTGCATGCCATTCCATATGGCCCTTAGCAGTGAGTGTGTGTGTGGTTGTTTGTCCTTGTGTGTCTCTGTGTGGCCCTGCGATGGACTGGCGGACCGTCCAGGGTGTACCCCGCCTCTCGCCCATTGACCACTGGGATAGGCTCCAGTCCCCCCTGCGATCCCATTAAGGAATAAGCGGTTACGAAAATAGATGGATGGGTGGCTGAATGAAAACGCAGGAGTTACAAGTGCATGCCACAAGATGGCACTACAAAACCAAGAATCCCACCCAATAAGATTCCACTTTATAAGTCTAAAGGATTTTTAGTTGACGTGTGCACAGATTACCATAAATACAGAAATTTTCATCCTTGAAATGTGGGGGAAATTGTATATATATATGTATATATGTAAGTATATATATATATATATATATATATACATATATATCTGATTACCTGTGCTCCTCAGTGGAGGAATCTAAATCTAATTGATTTAGATTCTGTAAGGCTCTGTGATAATGATGCTATTTCTCATCCGTGAGATTCCAGCAGATGGCTTTCTGACCGTCGCCCATGGAGGGGCTGGTTGGTCAGCCTGTGTGCTGTCATACTGTCTGGGTGGGAGTGCCAGTCAGGAGAGGTTTTATGACACTCACTACAGATCAAAGTCCTCTTGTGGGCCTCAGACAACCGTCAGTCCATCGGAACTGTGGGGCCGACTGCCACCTGCCTTTTCTTTGGCTCTCCAGCTGTGTCTCTGTGGTCTGCTGATCTCTACAATGAGGTCAGTCAGAATGAGATGACTATGGATCCCATGTCCCACCGGCAAAGATGGACATACCAGGTTATTATCCACAGCTGACCCAGCCTGTTATCCAACACCCTGGTAACTACCCAGAGGATCTGGAGGGACCATCAACATGTAAGTACAGGACTGAAGTACATCAATTTTAACTAGCACGTAGACGGAAATAATAAGCATTTTCAACCATTCATGTCATTGTAAAAACGTCTGTATCTTTAAAAGATAAATACGTTTCTGAAGTTGTCTTTGGCCTTAATGATGTCTGTAAATATATTTCCCACTTAAACACAGCAATAATAATCAAATAATTCTGTCCATTTGAAACTGTATAATAAAAGTATTTTGCCTTTTAATCATGCCATTTCTCTTCAATAGAATGGTTGTAATTATGTAAGGGTCTTATCTGTGATCATAGCTGAGTGATAAGGTGCTGTCTGAGGCAGGAGTATGGTCCCATATTGTTCGTTGTTCTCTCAGCAATCGGGCAATAAACCTCATTAGATGACACATTTTCACTCTAGATGTATTCCTGTCTCTTCACCCTTTAGGGGTCTTACAGCAACTTTATAAGCACCTGCTTCTTCGTAGCAGACTAGAAATATCATTTACGACTGCAAATTTGGAATATTTTGTATATTGCCAACATGTTGAAATGTCCTCATGGCCAATAATGATACAAATTTTACAAAATGCTTTTGTGTTTCATTTTGTTCCCACACTGATGGCCATTTTTAGTTTGTTTTTTCTCATAAATCTTACTTTGATGTTGTTCTTCTCCAGCTCAGGAGCAAAACCCAGAGGAGGACAGCAGGGCAGAGTATGAGGAAAGCTGTCCTATTTGTGGAGACAAAGTTTCTGGATACCACTATGGACTCCTCACCTGTGAGAGTTGCAAGGTAAGGGATAAGGTGTTAACAGAATACCTATGTTAGAAAACTAGGTTACATGCTGCATTTTTTCCAATTACGTCTTAAGCTTTATTTTGCCAGGAAGCTTTTTTTATTATCATTATTTTTATCAAGATCAAGATAAGCTGCAAAATGATGGTTTCATCACAGATCCTTCTGTCACCATCAAAATCGAGCAACAGTTTCCTTCTCTTTCTGCGCAGGGCTTCTTTAAACGCTCGGTGCAGAATAACAAGCATTACACCTGTGCGGAGCAACAAAGCTGCCCCATGAACCTCGCCCAGAGAAAACGTTGTCCTTTCTGCCGGTTCCAGAAGTGTTTGGCTGTAGGCATGAAGACAGAAGGTACAAAGCTGACACCATTTCCAGATAGAGACACAGAGATTTCCATGCTTTGTGTTCTGATACTATGCATTTTTCTTTTCCTCCTAAACGTTATTAACAAATGTTGCAATAGCCTGAGGTCATTCATTTTCTGCGCAAATACTTTAAATCTATTAAAGCAATTCCATTTCTTCTATATTCTGTCATCAGCTGTGAGAGCAGATCGCATGAGGGGTGGCAGGAATAAATTTGGGCCTCTGTACCGGCGGGACAGGCAGATGAAACAGCAAAAGTCTAACACCGCTGACTACAGAGTTAAAAACGAAACTACTCAAGCACATTGTTCACCAACCTATCCTCACTTCAGCAACAGTCACACCGGAGAACCGTCGCCTTCTGATGCCTTTCAGCTCTCCCACATGTATGCATCCGGTATGGGGCAGTCGGGTGAACACGGGCCTCTGGACTGCTCAGTAAACAACCCCAGGATGCTGAGCCCTCCATGTGTGCCATACCCTCAACTCTACTGTGCCTTTCCTGGAAACCTCCACGAGAAAGGAGAAACATCTTTTAGCTGCAGCCCAGTTCCAACACACTATCCGGTGCATTCGGCCCCGAATACCTCATTCACACTAGGAAGCACACTGGCATCGTCCCCCTGTTGTGCACGGGGCTCAGCATCCACGCTCCCCCAGGCCCTCGCCCATGCGTCTCCACCAGCAGCTCACCCGCCCAACTTCCTGAACCAGCTCATGGAGGGCGAGCGGGACGAGGGCCAAACCTGTGCCAAAGTCCTGGCCTGTCTGCAGCGAGAGCAGGCCAATCGAGGAAAACACGACCGCCTGAACACTTTCAGCATCATGTGTAAAATGGCTGACCAGACCTTGTTTGGGCTCGTGGAGTGGGCCAGAAACAGCAGTCTCTTCCAAGAGCTTAAGGTAAAAAATTATGGAATCACCAGCACATTGTTAAATGAATCGTTTTGTAGTAATACCTTTTTGCAATCATTAATCAGAAATGACAGTTATTTGACAATTTCCTCAATTTTGTGAGACAAAACTGAAGCTTAATGGCATTTTAACCCCTCTGACAGGTGGAAGACCAGATGGTGCTTCTGCAGAGCTGCTGGAGTGAGCTGCTGGTCCTCGATCACCTTTGTAGACAAGTTACTTATGGCAAAGAAAGCTGCATATACCTGGTCACAGGGCAACAGGTAAAGTAAGACACACGCCAGCTAGAAGGTGCATTGTCTTGCTCATCAAAATGAACTAGCAATTAATTATGTTTTTGGTTAAACACATCAGTGTTAAATAGCTAAACAAATTGTCTTTTTAATGCAGATTGAAGTTTCCACCATTATTTCCCAAGCCGGAGCAACACTGACCAGCTTGGTTTCAAGGACTCAGGATCTTGTATCAAAACTTAAGGCACTCCAGTTTGACAGACACGAGTTCGTCTGCCTTAAATATCTTGTGCTATTCAATCCAGGTGAGAATTTGCTTTTGAAATTTTAGCGATTGCGCTCGTCAGGACAAAAACCAGACGTAGCTTTTGGAGAAACACTGACATTTCCCTAATAGGATTTGATGGTTTTGCATGCATTTTGCCCCGTTTTAGATGTCAAGTCAGTGCACAACCGCAGGCAAGTGGAGCGGACTCAAGAGAGGGTCAACAGAGCCCTCATGGAACACACCCAACAAAGTCATCCAGGACACTCAGACAAGTTTGGCCAGCTACTTCTCAGGCTGCCAGAGGTACGCAGCATTAGCTTGCAGGTTGAGGACTATTTGTACCAGCGCCACCTTCTCGGAGATTTGCCCTGCAACTCTTTACTTGCGGAGATGCTACACGCCAAGCACAACTGAGGGGAGGATGCAATGCCGCGGTGGAGTGCTCTCAACTTGCTGCTGTGAATCTTTGTTCAGCCAGAGATCAAGAACATCTGTGATGGAGTAATATATGCTTCACTTGTGCCACTTCAAAGTTTCTATCAACAGTATTACCATATCCAATTCTTCCAGATTTGGGCAAGCAAAATCATGAATTTTGCACAATCAGAAAAAAGTTCCCTGTTCAACAAAAGAAGTCAAATATAAGGGGGAAAAAAGTCAAATGTGCCATTGAATAAAGTTATGTAGTTTCATCATGTGTGTTTCATGTAAAATACACTCAGGAGCATAAAACAACTAAATCAGATCCAATGTGTTGCAAAATAATCTCTTTTCAGATTATTTGTCTGCCAGAAAGCATCGGACACAAGTATTGTATGAATAAGAAAATATATTTATGATGAAAAAAAGAAAGAAAGAAACATGGGTATGAAAAAACAATGTGGATAATTTAAAAATGATTTTATTTTCTGGTCCAGTTACCGAGGAAAGTCAGTTTTGTTTTTATTTTTAAATGAACATATATAACGTGCTGGCACAGACAGAAAAACAGAAGAAAAGAAATGCTATGACAACTTCTATGAAAGGAATATTTGACTCAATTCAACAAATAGTGAAAAAAAAGAAAGAAAACAGGCAAAAACTTCACCTGAAACTAAAACAAATGCACCTTCTTCTAATTTAATTCAAAAGCAAATAAATACACCTCTGGGTGATGATGGGATTTTTAAGAAAAGAATTGTACAGAATCAAAATACGGTAGCTACTACCTCCTACTACGCTTTACGAATACATAAATACAAACATTCACTAATTCAATATGCATTCCTTCATAAACAATCCTAATCAATCATCCAACCAAAAGTTGTTATTCACATGGAATTTAAATCTCCTTCAAACACATTTTTTGGAGGCAGTTAATGATTTTGGAAGAAATCGGCTGCTTCGCGGCAGTGCCAGAAGAGGAGACGGCTTATTTCCCACAGACTAGTGGCAATATTGCGTACTCATCACAAGCAACCATGGGGTCAGTTTTATTGTCATAGAAAAAAAGAAAAGAAAAAAAGCATTTTGGCATTTTACATTTCCCCATTTTTACATGAAGGAGTCTCTAGAGACTGTGGGGTAGAAGAGGGCTGTTACAGTCCAGTATGTTCCTTCATCAAGTAACCTACTGTTTATATGCCGGGACACACAAACAGGGAATAATATATTAGGAAAGAGACTCTCAGTGACCTAAAGGATTTATTCATCCCTATTTTAATTCATTTCAGCTGTTTGACAAATTATCATCCATTCATTCTCATCTCAAACATACATCTCACTAATGCTCAAGCAGCAGGCCAGTTTATTTCAGTTTACAACTTAGCTCAACTTACTTTATAAATCATTGTCAAAAAAAAAATCTGATTCATCAGCATTCAGTATATATTAAATTAGCATTGATTATCATTTTCATAAAGAGTGGTATCCAAGTAATGATAAACATGATAGAGCTCTCCTTCATGTTTCTATGATTCTTTTTCAAGACCAGCTCAGATTACATTTCAATGAGAGAGCAAGTATGAGAAAAAAGTCACATTAAATTTCATTCTTCTTTCAGCACACGATGACTGAAATTATTTGTCCCGCAAAACATGTCAAAAGAGTATAAAAAACATCCAGATGTCTACAGCCGAAGGAGAGTTGGAGTGGAGTGCACAAACTATGGGGCACAGGCCGTTTGTAGGTGTGTGTGTGTCCATTGGCATCCACAGTATCCACCACCAGTGCAGCCCTGTAAGGGACCATCTATCATGGTTTTATTTTTCTGGTCCAGACTAAACAGTGAAAAACACCCCTGAATGAAGTGAGCTGTTTTAGAGTGTGCCCTACATTCATGAGAGCAGTGTTACCTGCCATTTCACTTCAGCTGAGAACTCCAGTGAGAACTGAGAGCTTACCTACTTGCCTCAGTATCCTGAAGTGAGCCCTGGAGGAAGAAAATGCAGCGAAAGGAAAAGCAAGCCGAGGGGTTGGAACTACTTGTGCCCAAAATACTGTCGTGTGGGCAAAGGCTGTGTGGTTTTCCCCTCCAATGCTTACCAAGAGTCTCAAAAGGGACTCTGGCACGGCAGGGTAAGGCAAGGCATGAAGAGTCGAGGGAAGAAGAATTCATTTTCTGAATAGAATTCGTCATATTTCCTTTTACAATCTGAAAAAAACAACGTAGAGCCTGTCAAAAAGCTCAGAAGATACAACTATTACAATTGCATTGGCTGATTAAGTGGGTGATTTCCCCATTGTCTGGTATTTATAGCTAACAGGATTATTCTCGGGGTCCAGGTTAATAACTGGCCACAAACTGTCAATCGTGCTGTCCGCCGCTAGACCTAAAAACCTGTAGTGTCACACCGGCAAAGCAAGAGGAAATGTGTCAAGTCAAGATGGGATCTGATTCCCTGAATGCTAATATCCTTATCCGTCTTGGGTAAGGCTTTATTTGGGGGTGCTAAGCTTCTTGGGAGTTCCTGGGCGCTTTTGCCAAAAATGGCCAGGGATGGTAAAGGCGTCAACACTCATGGACATGGTTTTGGACGGGATGGCCGTGAACTGCTTGCGGTCAGAGCTGTACTTGTAAATGGACTCCACCATCTCAGGTGTAATGACTCGAGGTCCAATGCCAGTGATCCGTACCATCTCCTCAGTTTCAGGGTTCATTGTATAAACTGCTCTGAACTGGCAGCTGGAATCTCTGAAGAGGATGAGGAAGTGATTGGCTGTGCTCTTCTCCATTTCCTGAAGAAAATGTAGAGACAAAAATTATAGTTGCGGGCAACATATTGTCATGTTTGTGCAAATTCCCAAAATGGACTGAAAAAACAGGATGTCTTACTTCTACAATCTTGTTTTTCTGTGGTTCATTGACTTTGCCAGCAAGGCAGCAGCGAGTAATGGCATTATGAATGATGAACTTGTTGGACTTAAAGCTTGGCTCCTTGTACAGCTTTGGTCCTGAAAGACAAAAACGTTCCAGATGTCAAGATACCAAATTAAGTAGGATAGCATATTTACTTTTTTAGGATCTCATTTGTATTTTGAAACCTATCACTGACCTGTGTATTCAGGAATGGAGGCAGGGGAGGAAATGGTGGAGCCATTCTCCCAGTCCTTTTCCCCATTCTGAGCACTCATTCGTCCGGGTGACATTAACCGTGACCGGGAAGGAGAGTGTGAACGGCTACAAAAAACGCAAAACAAGTTTATGATTAAAGTATGTTACAGTTAACAAGACACAAACATATGTTAAAAAAAACTTAATGAGCTCCTCTCAAGCACTATCAAATCTCATCTGGATCTTAATGTAATGATCAACTGTTCAGCTTAGCAACATTGTAGTGGATTTTGAAATAAAGATGTTCCTAGTTTCTGGAAGTTATCTTAAAAATGTTGAAAAGATTGTTCACCATTTATGCACCATTACCATTTTAAACTCTCTTATAATTATGGGCAAATCATTGACACTGTGCAGGTTACCTTGGAGATTTCCTGATCGTCATGCCTCCGGAGTCATTCGCCATAGAGGACAGGTTCATTGTTGAGTGGGAGTAAACTCTGTTAAGCTTAGTGCCTAAAATGAAAAAAAGTTTATGTTAAAAAACCTGTTCACATAACTGTAGGTACAATGAACAAATGCAAAACAACGACAAAAAAGAACTCTGCTGGAATAAGTCAGAGGAGCTTACCTATGGAACCTTTGACAGGGCTGTTGGACAGGACAGAGTCATCTCTGAAGACAGTTTTGGGTCTTTGCTTCTTGACACCACGAACTGTGGTAGGTTTCTGCCTCAACACCTTGTCCAAGTCTTCCATGATCTTCAGCTGGTGTCGTCTCTCGTACTCTTGCCTAGTGAAGTCTCCTCTGCGCTGGGGAGTCCCTTCAGCTGGTGGTGTGCATGATGCTGGGGGGGTGCCTGGGGTCTGAGGCCTGTCGTCGGCCTTATTCCCCCAGCCCTCGATAATCATCCACTGTGGCTTGCTAAAAACGCAGGGCAAAAGTCTTTATGTAATCAAATTACAATTAAAATATTCTTGCTTAAATATTAATGCAGGCATTTTTATAAACAAAAAAAACAGATCTCACTTTGACTCTTTTTCTTTTTCCTGTTCAAGTTTGCGCCTCTTCAGTTCTTCTGCTCTTTTTTGTTGTTTCTCCAGCAAAGCTGCTCTTCGCTGGGCCATCTCATCCTCTGATCGATCTTTGTCATCCTACATACGAAGATTGCCAAAACAGTTACGAACACATTTTTAAATGGTAGATACCGAAACAAGAAGAATCAGCTTACCTTGAAAAAGAACCCAACTCCCAATTTTGAATCTGGCTCAGTCTGGTCGCTCATTGAATCAGAGAAAGCGTCGGGCATATGGTCTTCCTCCTCCCCATCTCCTCTCAAGGCAGACAGTGGGATCTCTATCAAGCTACTGCATTTTCCGTTTAACATCCCTGTTGGCGCCTCACTTTCAAAGGAACACTCTGATGGAGCACCGGAGCTGCACCCCCCACTCGCAAGCCGCTCCTTCCTTACCATAGGAGTATGTGAGGGCCCTGCCTCTAGGTCAATGCTAAACACACTGTGTCCATCATTGGAGCCGACCTCTGACAGGCTGTCATCAGCAGGAGGCTGTGGAGTGGGAGTAGGAGTTGGTACAGGGGTCTCTGTGGGGGTGGGGAGAGGGGTTGAGTGCAGCTCATCTGGGTTATGGGAGTCACCTATTGAGAAGGATGAAGAAGTTTGGACTTGGGATTGCCAGGGACTTCCTCGACGAAGATGGGGGATGCGGTCCACGTTCTGAGGTGCGGTGATAACTCTTGATGAAATTGGGACCTTCATCTCCATTTTACGACTGTGTTTGGGGCTTTTAGGAGGTACAGACTGGGCTCTCCGGTGAGCTTGAGGAGATTTTGGAGGAGTGGCATGGTAGGAGAGTTTACGAGATGGAGAAGGGGAGGAAGAAGTTGAGTTTAAACCTCGTGTGGATTCTCGGGACAGGCGTGCAGGGTGTGCGGTCGCTGAAGAAGCAGAGGGGCTGGATGGAATAACCCATGACTTATTGCTGGGAGATGGGGCTTTCTTCTTGATCAGTTGACCTTGTTGCTCAGTCAGCCGCTGCATATCGCTTTGCAGGGAGGTGAGAGCTGCAGTTAACTTGGACACAGCATTGTTATAGTCTCCTAAAGGAGCAACTACTTTGTCCCCAGATGCTTCCGAGCTCTTTCCCCCTGGTGCACCTGCCTTTTCCTTGGTCTGGTCGACCTCTTTGCCGAGTACAAATCCTCCTTTAATGTTACCTTCCTCCTCCACAGAGGGGTGCTGTTCTTTTTGCTCCTGCTGCTCCTCTTCTTCCATTCGAGCCAGCCTTTCCTCTAATGTCAAGCGAGAGAGGTCTTCCTCTGTAGATGAGGTGCTAACCTGACCTCCTTTCCCCTCATCGTCATCCTGCTCTTTTTTCAACTGCAGAAAGGCACTCTTCCCCAGTCTTTGTCGGTGTTTTGCAAAAATAGCCTCAATGCGTTTCTTCTGGGCTTCAATCGCTTTGCGCTTTTCTTCAAGCCGAACCCCCAGCTCAGACATCTCATTGCTGAGCTGCGGGCTCTTGCTCGGGCTTTCTTCGGACTTCTGCGCCCACGTGGTCAACTGTGGAGAAGACGGGTTGCTGGCTTTAGGAGACTCAATATTCTGTTTCTTTTTACGTTCAGCAAAGCTGGTCATCTTCACACCGCTATCAGACACCTCCTTGCTATGGCCTCTAGAAGAGACAGCACTGGCAGCTGGTGTGTTTGGTGTGGACTGGGCCTTCGGCTGATCTTCTGAGGCATCCGAATCTACACTGCCATCTCTCAGAACTGAGTCATCGTCACGTGAACATTCAGAAGTGTTTCTGGTGCGAACTGGGTCCCGTGTCTCTCCTGTGGGCCGATACATCATCCCTGAGCGTGTTGGGGCAGAGCTACTGATGGGCGTCGGGGTGCTGTTAAATCTAGAACTAGCAGGGTCATCAGGAGAGTGGAGGTAAAAGCCATCAGGAGCACCATCAGGGTGTAAACGAGGCTCCATTTTGCTCTCATTATGAATTATTTGAAGGGCCTCTTCTATGGTTGGCAGCTCTCCTGTTTCAGTTGTGTCATGGCCATTCTCTTCTGCCACTCGTGGAATACTGGGAGTCTGAGTGGCCCATGATGCTCTCTGGGGACCGTTGGGTCCAGGTGGTTTGTTGAGTAAATGGCTGAGGTCTTCAGGGGGAGTGTAGGGTACTCGGGTTGTGTTTTGTCCACCTCGGTTGAGCTGATCTGAGCTGACAGATCGGGTTATAACAGGGTCGCCCATCACAACATCCACATCACTGTCCAGGCCAAAAGGAATGCTGAAGGACACTGCTGATAAGGGCCGACTAAGAACAAAACAAAATGTTTTCAGTAACATAAAAACATTTAAAAAGATGTCCATATGACACTGTTCTTTAATCAATGTGGCCGATACCTCAGAGGTTTCTTGCTCCATGTCTTTCCAACTCCTTCTATATGAGACATTGAGGTAGACTGAGTCAAAGATCCTGAGTACAGTGGAGGACACAGACATGTAAAGGCATGCAGACCACACAGCAATGCACACATAAACACACAAAACACCAAATGAAACAAATACGTACTAAATATTTAGAATGTCCATACAATACAGAACGTAAAAAACAAGGAAAACGCAACTTAATAAAAACAAGTTTAAGAAGAAAGGTGACACATATATGCATAGGATTTAAAATGATTGGGTAGCTTGACTTGAGAATAACGGGGCCAGTTTTACTCTTACCTAATGCAGGGGAGGAAATTGGAAGGAAGGGCTTCTTGAAGATTGAGGGGGAGGTACTGCAAAGAGGGGGGTAAAAAAAAAACTACGTTCAAACATATTCAAGTGTATGTCAGAACAAATACAGCAAAATCTCATTTAGAAAGATTCTCTACCTGTTACCACTCAAGCTACTTGGTGTTAGTGGTGTGGATCCATCTGAAAAAGAAGGAACCCCTAAATTAATATATGGAAATGCTCATCATTTATCATCTCAATACTGATGCTGTGCACAATTAAAAAGGAACGAGTGAGACATACCCAATGTGTCTACGGGCTGAACAAAGTCTGGCCTTTGTACTTCAAACCAGCAAAGCAGTTCTGACAGGAAGCTCAGAAAGTTCAGCTAACCAAATAACACAAAATAAATTTGGGATTAAGAAGGCAAAGTAGTATTTTTGGTTGATTAATGACTGAAACTGTAAAGTACCTGAAGCTCTTGTGGGGTGTACAACATGTCCTCCAGTGCCAAGCTACAGCAGCCTTTTAGACAGCTGTCGCAGAATTCCCGGATGAACTGCAGGTTGTACAGGCTGTCTGCTACAGACATGGAGTCCTTCATACAAACGTCTTTCAGAGAGAAGAGGAAACAAAGTTAAATCTTACAAGCAAGTGTGGTGATAAGTAATTTCTAAAAGAGCATGGTGAAAATGTGTCCAATTACCTTCAAGTCTTAGTAGGCCAGGGCAATAGTAATGTATGACAGCAGCAACAGCACAACCATTGGACAGATCTTTAACTTCATTTACAACAGGGAAAATCGGCTTTAGTTTGGACTGAATTTTATCCTTCCGGTATCGAAGCTATAAAACAATGACAAACAAGATCATCAAATTCAGCAATGTCACCCTAATTTCACACCTATATAATTGTTCATTTTAGCAAACATCAATACCAAGCTGTTAATATTATCAGTTTATTCTCAATATAATCTATAATTTGAAATGTTAAGAATAAAAACATTAAACTCACAGAGAGAAAAAGTAGAGACATGCTAAGGACGTGTATAAAGAAATGAGTACAAGCGAGTCGCGGCGGATACAAATGGGATGACTTAATTGGTGCAACATGGAGGATATTTGTATCAGGAGAAAGTGGGTCATGTGAGCATCTCAGAAGGCAGAGAGAAAACCAGAGATACATGCAGTCTCAAAAGAAACAAAATGTATCAGGTGTTACTGCAGCACACAGACAGCCCTTTGTCAGCAGGGACCAGCTAAATGAAAACCCGTCTCTCTTTACCAGCTCCCCACACCAGAGCAACCAGTTGTTCAAGTCAGTGTCACTGGCCTGCATGAAAGCAAATGTGATTCATGCACCACTCATGTTTATGCAAACATGACCTGCGACACACTGTTAAGTTAAGACTGCTTTCACTTAGAAATGCAGACAAATATGTAACAGGTGCATTCTTATAGGGGGATTAAATGCAAAAATACAAAGAAAACGGAAAGAAAATCATTAAATCAGACCTGATAATGGTACATTTGTGAAGAACTTTGATGAAGACACTGGAAGGATGGAGGGATAGGATAGAGGAGGCAGGGGAAAGCAGTAAACTTACAGGAACAAGTTTCCAGTACCAGCGAGTTGGACACTGTCAGAGCAGAGAGGGAAACAACACAACACAGAGAAAGAGAAAGGAATGGACAACAGGAGCACAAGGAGAGGATTTAAGCCTAGAGCGGAAGAACTAGACAGACAGGAGTGAGGATTGTGGTGACAGCAGTTTCTTAAAATGACAGAAACACCTTCTTGATACAGCAGTGACCCTACCCATCGTTTTAAGGTGTAACTTTTACGTGTTAGCTTGTAGAGTAAGAGACCTGTAAATGACATCCAGCAACGATCGACCTACCAGCTGAAACCTCTAAGGCCATCCATGACCCTTAATCCACCAAATGTGTTAATGTCAGAGAATGTGCAAACATATATACAATTGACAATTAACCTAACGTATGTTTTGGGAGAGTAGGAAAATCCAGAGTACTATGAGAGAGCTCATGCAAACAGAGAGAACATACCAACTTCCAAAAGAAAAGACCAGCCAGGACACAAACTCCCTTGCTACGCAGAGACGGTGCTAACAACCGTACAGCCCACACTCAACATGATGTGATCTGACTCCATGCATATCTGCAATAACAACTAACACCTCTCTTTGTGGTTTTCAGACTATACGGGCAATCAAAGAGTATAGGCAGAGAGCCGTAAACGCAAACATCTGGCTAAAAAGGAGCATGACCTGAAATATTGCATATATGTGTCCATCCATGCTATCAAAGGTCAGCTGTATAACATGCCAACACTGTTTGCAACATCATCAAGTAAGTAGCTGCCAAGCAACAAAAAGCAAACAAACAAAAACTGACCCTCTAGCAATCTCTAAATATGGCCACCACGCCTCTGTAATTGCTACACTTTAACTTTCCAAAAGTTTGTTTAAAGATCTTTCATTTATTCACTGCTTACTTTTAGCCATTCATTCATTTAGATATGATAGATATCTTGAATAATTTATATTCCTGTAATACATTTTAATGCAGTGACTTCATAATTAACACAAAAGTACTAAATTAATACAACACTTACAGATGGTTCGACAGGTTGAGGCTCTGTAGCTTCCTGAGAAGAGTCATCCTGGGCTCCTTCAGTACGCTCCCGTAGCTTTTGATTCAGCTGAGGCAAGATCAAAAAAGACAAAAAATTTCAAATACAATTATTTACATTGTTTGCTTAGAGATAAAGACATTTGTCTTTACAACTGTATAGATTTAAAAATATGAGGCAAAACATTATTAGATTATGTTCAACAGAAAAGGGCTGAGAGCAAAGCAGGGCCATGAGACACTGGTGGCCGAGTACAAGAAAGATGCATGTTTGGAGCAGTCTTTGTCGCTCGCTGAAATACTACTTACCCCATTAACCCAATAAAGTAGAGCATCCTCCCAGCTCGCAGCTCCACCCAGTAACTCAGCAGAACCACATGTCTTCACCGCAGTCACCGTCTCCATGGCTCCCACGGCCATTAAGGCATCCATCACTGCAAGGTGAGCACTCTGCACCAATCACAAGGAAGAGGAAGAGAATATGAAGGCCAAAGAGGCAAAGCAACATCCATCAATTACAGTTAATACAATCCTGTTGGACATTTGTTTTTAGAGCCTGACCAGGGCTCTGGTACTGCAGTGAAGATACCATCTGTCTGCAGCTAGGTGTTTACCAGTAACATCCACAAGAGGTCATTAGAGGACAGCTGTACTTCAGCAGAAACACTGAACGAGGTTCTCAGATAGTTAACCCGGACATTGGTAGATGTGGATGGACTCTGGACCCATGTTTGTACGCTCATTAAATCATTAAATCAAGTAGGCAGTTGACCTGTAATACGATAACACAAATGTCCTGGGACTTTCATTCCGAAACTGCTTTCCTTTTTGTTTTAAACATCTCTTTACTTCCTTTCTATCCCTCTTTTGCGCAGTGAAATGTTTCTCCATGAGTCATGTGCAAGACTGCAGGATGTAGCGAGAGGCTGTAACTAGATCAGCAGAAATCCCTGCAGAGAACAATAAGACGGAAAAAGGGTACTCCAGACTTTACCTGATGAAAGAAAACGCCGTTTGAGATCCTGAATTTAACTAGAAAGTAATAACACCATAATGAAACCATAACAACGCCATATCTAACGACCCAAACATTTCCATCCAGGAAACATTTCTAGCCTGGATAAATCTGGCATGAAAAAGGGCCATTAAACAAATTCTTAAAATACCTAAAGCGCATTAAAATGCACCACTACATTATCAGCTCAGTTAAAGCGAGCCCTTTAATTCTTTAAACCTGTTAGCTAATAAGAAGCTGGGCGCCACTTGTGCCACTGAGCTTCTTATGTCTTTTTCTCACTTCAGTCAAATATCTCAGACATTTTAATTAATTAAATTCTTAACTGACTGAGGACATTTTTTAACACACATTTCAGATAAACCTTATCCAAAAGACATTGTATTAAACAACATCTAGCTGCTTTCTTATCATCCATTGCTCAATTTTTTCGAAAGGCAAAGATGGTAAAGTAAGTTTTTCCTCCCCCGTAAGAATACTACTCAGACAAAAAGTCAGTTCAACCAAGATTAAAGATAAGTGACAAGCAAAATGATTGTGAAAGTCATTTGGCTTTGAAGTTATTCTGTAAACGGCTTATCTCCCTCAGTCCATGCCTTCAAAGTATCATGCTTTATCTTTGTCATCTTTACATGCATTTCTTTGAGTTACTAGACAGCATCAGTTGTCGGAGCCAATTTTCCCACTTTTTGCTTCGTGAAGGAAGTACCTTGTTTTAATCATTTAGTTTTGGAGAGAAAAAAAGGCAGGTCACAAACAACACATTCCTGCCAAGGGGCCACTTTCAATCTTCCATTCTAATGTTTGAGCTTAATCTGTTCACATGAGGGCCTGGTCCCTTTAACTACTTACAAATTCCACATTAGAGGCCAGACATTTTTACTCTCACCTCTTATGTTCCCCCAGAAAGAGACTGGCAATCCAGCTGCGGACATTAGCCTTAGCTGCATGTCTGCTTACTCAACCCTGATGTAAAGTGCTGACCTGAGCAGACCCAGTGCTGGGATGGGTAGAGCCAGCTATGCCAGCAAAGGCCTGTCAGACAGTATTGGGGCATGCGCTTTGAATGCACTGTCATTCACTGTAAGCAGCGTAGCCTTCGCTGGTGTGTCCTCCATTCGCCATCAGAAAAAAAAAGGGTTGCTGCTTTTATTCCCATAAGAGATGGCTTTAAGTGGCCTTGCATTGATGGGAAAAAATTGTCTGATACAGCTATGAGAAATTAGAAACTGGTAAGAAATGTACTATTTACAAGCCACTGGCTCAAATGCTAAACTTTACAAAAAACTACCGACAGAGTAATGTGAGCTATCAAAAATAATGATGATTTTCTGCTGATGTAAATTTCTGTTTCATATGTGAGGTTATAAATTAGTTTATTTCTCATATGACAATATTTGTCACACTGTGCTATGTTTAATGGTTATTTAAGCACTCAGCATTGAAAAAACATAACAAGGTTTAATAATGCAACATGCATCTCAGCACCTTGGCAACAGATCTATGGGTACATTACGCTTGTGGCTGTGCTTTCACACATGACGCAGCAGATGATCTGTGCATTTAGTAACAATGGGTCATAACTGGCTGGGACTTTGATTACACTGGAAATAAGTTGACCGTGGAATTAAAGGTGTTGTAGCCAGTTCGGTTGTCATGTTGTACATTAAATAGTTAAAGGAAAGATTTGAGTAATTCAAGAGAAAAATCCAGAATGAAGCTGGAATAAGGAGGGGGAGTGTATTTCAGTGAATTTCCCATAGTACACCCAGGAGAGCTTGCTAAGCTAAATCACAAGGCTCCCTAATGAGAGTACAGAGAGGAGCCACTCGTACACAGCTCAAAGCCTGCCAGATCACCATAACAACCAACCAGCTGACCCACAATGCACCTCAGTATGAGCCTGACTGCAGCACTGATCAGTGCTCCTGGCTTAGCGCTGGCTCTCAGCTCAGAAACACCCAGCACCTCTCAAACCAATGTGACACAAAGAGAAAAAAAAATTACCTTCCATCTGTTAATCCCTTTAACATGAAATATTTGTATCCCTATTTTTGCAAAGCTACTTGCATAACTGCATAAACAACTTACTTAAAGTAAGAAAAGGCATTGTGTTGATCATTATGGAAGATTATGATGAGGTTCAAATCTGATTAGGTCAGAAATATGACTTAACCCCATCCCCCTACTGTGCCTGGTGCCTGCAGATGAGAAGACAAAACCGGGGGATCAAGCAGGCTGGGGGCCCAGCCAGGGATTTTGGAAAGGATATTAAACGAACTCCAATATATGAACTAAATGCTTTTGCAAAGAGAACCTCAAACGGAATTTTAGACAAAACTTTTTTGTCAACTCTGATAACAATTGGTAAATCAGCCCAGCAATTAGTGCAATATAATGGTTAGTGTTTTTGATAGTCTGAAACTTCTATTTTCAACTAAGCTCTTCAGTAGTGTTCACTTGACCAGAAACATGCCAACACAGCAGTATGATTTAAGACGCACTCTCACTGGCACTCCAAAACCAACAGAGTAATAGGCAAAGAGTAATCTCCATTATAGCTACATGACTTACTTTCTCATTGTGGGAACTGATTCCTGACTATCTCTTGTATACTCAACAGCTCTTTTGACAGAGCTCAGTCAAGATGGAACTGTTGCACCTTCTTTACACACACTGGTGGACGCCAAGATCATCATTAGGTCTGAAAGTATACACGGAAAATGAGGCTTGTATATCAAGACAAGTTAATGCAAAACAAAGTCATATTTTTCGCACAGCAATGTAGGCATGCAGGGCTAACCCTGACTAAAACATGGTCAACCTCTACCCACATTTCAAACCAGTCAAACCTTGTAACTTTTTTTTAGATCAAATTACCTCACCTTTAACTCACAGTCTATGTATGATTTATTTTGGGGGGGGGGGGGACCAATCAGATTCAGTTAGAAAAGGTGTACCGACGCAAAAAATTCAGTATTAAACAGTTTTCTCTTCCAAGCACAGAGCGAGCCATACTATGGGTGCATCAGTGAAAAAGGAAACAAATAAATGACAAAGATTTTAAAGTTGAGAGAGAGCAAGCTTGATTCTAGTAACAATACCAGGACATAACAACTTGAACAACTAACTGGTCGATGAAAAATGTTATCTACACGTCAATTCTTCTCTTTTCCCCCCCTCTTTTAACTAAACTGGGATTGTAACATAATATTTGTGTAAAAAAAAGTTCTCAGGGAGTCACTGGTCATCTGTAGCATGTCAACCAATCATAGATGATGTTGTTCAGTCTGTATGGCAGATTATCGCTAATCTTCAAAGATCTTTATCCTCAATCTGAGCAGTGATGGGGGTTGGGCTCTATGAGAAGGACAGATACTAGTAGGATACGGACTCATACACATACCACCTCAGAGACTACACAATAAATAAACTGATGACTAAGCCTGAGCACAAAAACACACGTAGCATCTTTCCTTTCTTATAAAAGATATGTTTCCAAATCATTTAAGTAAATAAAATGTACTCTAAAGTAAAATGGGAATAACAGTCTACACCATCTTTTTTATTTTTTTAATGTATGCAATTCTGTTAACTAAGGAACTTCTACAAGAAGCAGCAAATAGGTAAAGCATCATCCCACCTCAAAAACCTAGAAAAGCCATCTGGTTAGCATAGTGGACAAGTTTTGGTGTAATAATTGGATTCAAGACTTGTTCGTTTTAGGATACATAAGGTATTAGAAATTAAAAAGGGAAAACTTTGTTCGTACTTGTTCTTTGTGAAGCAGAACAACAACAATATGGTCCTTCAGTTTGATATGATGCGAGCTGAAACTATGTGGATTTAAAGGCAGCGTGTGTCTGATGCTCTGAACTGGGCCAGCTCCAGTACATGGTTTCATGGTGCATCATAGACCAGCATCTCTGGATTTGTCCCCAAACCTAATTTCCCAACGAGTAATGGGCTTGGCAGGGCAGATTAACTGGCAGCAGTGTTCACTCACTAGTAGCAAGCAGGTATTTCATATACATACAGTGATATGTTATCCTCTCTGAAAAAAACCTGAAGTTGTGCCAAACAGAAGTGTTGGGGCAGATTGCTGCTGTTCCAAAGCCGTTTTACTGGCCAAGACCCACATTGATGCTCCATCCTTGTAATGCAGCAGCATGACCCACTTTCTTTGTGTGCAACATTGTAGCTGCAGTGTCAGTCAGAGGTAAACCAGCTCCAATAGCTGCCAAGCAGTGGAACGCTGGTACACCAAAGTGAGCAGCAGATGAATCCCTGACTGTAACAGCCAAATAAGAGTTTAACGGTTTGGATTTAAAGCCGAGATGGACTATAGTTTGACCTTAAAACCTAGAACCTTAAAACCTAAATCCAGCGCTAGAACACACGGCATGATAAAGAGTTAAATTAGTGCACCAACGGATTACAGAGACATCATGGGTGACAGATACCTGTGCCATTAGTGCTGGTGCAGCAGTAACATCAGCAGCATCATTTGGGCCATTGTCACTGTACCTATGTTATCAGCCTCTTGAGTTTGTAGTTGCCTTTCTATAATTTTATCCTCCCTTTCTGTTTTCAAGTCTGAATATGTGTGCATTTTTTCATTGTTCATCTTCAGATTAAGATGCCATCTTTTATCTTAATTTGTACAACTGAGTGGTTCTTTGTACGTTACTTTTCCTATTGAAAAAAGCCATTTTGTTTTAATCCAAAGCAGGAAACCATTTGAAGCTTTGTTTTTAAGAAATGTGTGACATCATTTATTTGTTCTAAGAATTGATATCACTATTATTATCTCTCAAATTACAGAGTGAAGAGAAATGCTTTGGGCACATCAATGGGTAGATGCACAGTTTAAAACACTTTAAGAGAAAGTAGACATTATATGAGGTATATTACGGGTAAATCTGAGCTGAACACTTGATGTCACCCATTCTGCATTGAAAGCTATGATACCAAAGGCAGGACATAAGTAGAAGCAAAACATCAGATAAAAAATACACAGAAATCTTTTTGGAAAAACTAATTGAAAATGGTTATTAATATGTTGGATTCATGAGTGTTTACATGAACACAATTTATTTGCTCGTCACACTAGTGCTCAGCAGATAACTGAAGCTAACAACTTCACTTAACAACACTGCTGTCATCAAATATCAAAAGGAGTCCCGGTTACGCTTCGAAAACAGCTTTTATGCACACCAATCAGGATGAGTGGGAGACTGCAGTCATGCCAGAGAGTGGAAAGGGCGTCGATTAGGTTAAATAAAAGTTTCATAAGAGTGAGAGAGCTTTGACAGTTAAAACAAAAAGACGTTTCATAAACCATTCCATCCAACAGTATTTTCCCTTTTAAGACTAATAATTCTAGATTTAAAAAAAAAATATATATATATAAAATGCATATTTTCATGCTCAAGAACTTGTATATTATGCTGCAAGGAAGTCAGACAGACAGAGACCTTTCGTCAAAGAATAAGAGGATAAACCTGTTTCTCTTGATTTAAATGACTCAGCCAGCTCAGTGTATTCTCTCAACACAGCATCTAAAGTTTCACCACTGTTCAGCCATTGTTCTGATCTGGACCATCTATTGTATACACTCCTTCTCCCTCTCACACCCTGAAAGTAAAGTAGTCATGCCCTTGTCCTCCCAGCTGGAACTACTCATCCTTAGAGATCGGCTGGAGAAGCATTAGGGGATGGGGGAAGGGCTGAATGAGTGGGGGTGTTTTTTGATGTCTTTTAATCCCTAGAATCAAAGCATAAACGTGGCCCTGCATCAGCAAGAGAGGGATCCTAACCCCACTCTGCTTGTTCATAGACTCCTAGAAAGCACAGAATCCACAGGAGGCTTTTACTTTGGATAAAATCATCAACTTTGCGACTGTTGTTCGAAATTATAAATAAAAATGGTGTTAGACCGGTGCGGCATACATTACCATTTTGATGGGTTTATGTCGAAGGTCTGCATCCGTTACAACTGTATCCCGGTCTTTGGCGACAATGCATCTCTGAGTGAGGAGTTGCAGCAGTGCAACGTTGTCTTTGGGCTGCGCCTCAGCTCCAGCACTCCTAAGTAGTAAGCTGTAGGTACGACAGTAGAGCTCCGAGGACTGCAGGAGGCGAGTGACTGGAGGTTTGAGATGCTCCTGTTCATACTGGTCACAGTAGAAGGGGTCACGCAGCTCTGCAGGGACATTTTCTATCAAGAGAGAGGAAAAAAATGCAGAAACAATTAGACTATAGCAATCATCCAAGCTCTTGTTTGTTTGTTGTCTCTGTGAGGAATGTACTTAGTCACTGTAAAACAAAAAAACATGGGCTCCTCAAAACAGCTGTCTAAAACTAAGACCAGTAAAATCATAAAAGGATGGCGGTTTTTGGAGGCATTTCTTCAGTTTGTAGTCTAATTAAAACTGGATGAGGTTTAAAAAGAACTGGTGGAAGGATTAGCAGAAAGGCATTTCTAAAAGTGCCTGACTGCAAAAGCCCATCATAATCAGACAGAAAGCAAGAAAAAAATCATTAGAATAAAGTTTTGGGTTAAAATAAAACACCAAAAACCTCTGCGGGCACGCACCTATTAAAAGAAAAGGGGCAAAAGGTGGCCTAAGTCACAGAGGTGCTCCATGTGAAAGTATCTCTGTCACACCAGAGTGTGCTACAAAATGTAGAACACATCGAAGAAATACATCACTTATCAATTTTAGAGAATCAGCCACTCAGAGACATAATGACTAACTATTAACTGTCGAGGTAAAGTAACTTAAAAAATGTTTCATTTTCTCTAACAACAATAATATGCCCTCTAGTATAATCATTTACATGTTGCATTTAATGCCACAAAACATTCAGTGATATGTTGAATATAATATATCCCCTTTTTCCAGTTAAAAGAACAGATCGAGAGCATGTTCCACAGAAGCTGGCGTGGAAACCTAGTCTCTGATTAAGGCAGATACTGGGAAACACACAGTTAAAAATCCTACAAATGAGTAAAGTAGAGCAAGCACCCAGGTCAGTGGGACGTGATGAGCTCAGAGGTTGCATGTACAAATTACAAGATGTTCTGCGTCTCATTTAAAGCCTTTTCAAGCTCTTGTATCGTTTTGGCACAAAGCTGCTTCACAGATATGACATGCAGCTCATCATGAGAACTCAGCCGTTTGACAGTCTTCAATGTCACAAACACAAACACAGAAAAAACTGAAATGAGGAAGCTTTAATCTGTGCCATCCTTCAAGATGTTGTAGCACAGAGACATGAACCATTGCTAGAGGTTAGATTATCCATAATCTATTTAGCGTGAGTTCTCTTTAACTGCGGCCTACACTGCAAACATTACCCTGTAAACACACACACACTCGACACACCTTTACGAAAACAGGTTTTTCAGCACCCTCACAAAGCCAGCCTACAGTTGTGGAAAAAACATGCATAAATTTAGAGGTTTGCTTTGAGAAACAAAGCGGTCATCACAAAGGTGGCACTATAATTATGTTGCCATGTAACGCTCCTGGCACTGGCAGGAGGCACTAAAACACTCTGCTCTTCCTGTCCTCAGTCCATATAGACAACAGATGTCAGACAGTATAGAAAAACAAACATGTGTCACACTTCGTTGTACGTTTTCTGCAGTGAGAACTAACTGCTAATGTTAGTCCAAGTGATAAATAAAACCCTCCCCTAAAAAGGCAAACCAGTATGCAAATTCCACGACTAAGTTCGATGAGGGAGATCGATATGAGCATGATTTCCCTATGAGGCGGTCTGGCTATGAAAGCTGACTTTCATGTTACATACGTATCATAAATAAACTGAGTATGTGAGGTAATAAGCTCATCCCCCAAAAAATATGTCCAAAAGAAGCTTTTTCCCCCTTTACAAACTACCTAAAGCTCACAGCTTCTATCAATAAGAACCTACAGGTCAGGAGGGCCGACTGGTGCTGTATTATAGTCAAGACAAATGTGGGACCACCATAAAATTAGCATCCTTGTACCTCGCACAACTATTTAGATTCGAAACACGTGCTCCCATGCTTACATGAACTGGAGCAACTACCTTGCTGTCACATTCACAGGTCATGGAGTCAGTGCTTATCAGCGGGTTTGAGCAAGAAGGCAAAAGTCAAATGTGTGCAAAGTTTGACTCAGTATCACATTTACATGGTTTGTTGAGCTGGGAGCTCACAAAAAAAAAGCTGCGTGCAGTTTCCCATTTAGAAATTAAATTTAGGCCATGTGGCTCACGCCCCTGAATCTACACAAGATCTGGCTTATTCTGAACTCTTACTTTCTGAAGGAGGGCACAAACAATGATGTGCAAAATATTTTTCTTCTTATTTTGCTTTCACTTGTACTGGACCCAATACAGCTTACCATCAAAGCTGGCATTAGCTCAGCTGAGCTGGTTATCTATTCTGAAATGCACTGTTTGATAACAGGAGCCATGTGTCCCATGTCATTGACTGATTGAGCTAGTGTGCTGGTCATGTCACAGACATTATCACACATGGTTCACAGTAACCATCGCATAGAGAAACACAACCTCACACACACACATTTTTGAGCAGAACAGAGTGCGTTTGATCCAAGCCTCTTTTTTTTTGCTTGACAAGACCCTCCAACCCATTCTCCTGTTACATTTATGCGAAACAACCAGAGTTGGATTTCAGGAAGGTTTTTTGAGTAACAACGTACGCCGAGTAGCTCCCTCTACAGCCAAGCTGCCTGGTGAAATTTTCAGGAACTCTGGCTGATTTTGAATCATCTACAGGGGCACTGATGTGCAGAAGTGAGCAAGATAAGCATCCAAGCAGGACGCACACATGTCACTATTCCCTACTACAAGCCATGTTTCAGAGGCTACACAGAGATCATAAAATGACATCATTTCAACTCTGTATTAAAATAGTGGGAATTCATGGTTGGATGTGTTTTGAAAGATCTCCAGTGTGTATTCCTACTGTAAAAATGTCATTTAAATCATGTGGCTGCAGGGATCAAAGTCTTATTATCTAACCTTATTTTTGGAACAAAGCAGGTATTGTTTATTGCTGCAAAATATAGCTGTGTTGAGGGGAGCAACAGCAACGTTTCCTTTTCCACATGGCCAAAAGTACTGAATGAGAAGTGAATGCCAACAAAACAAAAACACCTCAGATAAGACTGGAGGGAATCATCATGGGTTACCAGGATCTACTTTCCCTTTTTGTCTTTCTGGAAATGATACACGTTACATCCCATTAAATAAACCAGTGGGAGAGCCAATATGTTAAGACTTAATCTGCTGTAACAACATAAAAAAAGACTATTTTCATGGCCAACTGCTAAAGTTACTGCATGAACTCGGAACTTCATTCATGTGTTCGGTTACTGAATACGTCAACACAGAGCTCATATATTGATTGTTGAAATATGATCTGACAGCATGTCTTCGGAAGAAAGAAAAGCACACTTCAAGCACAACACATGAAGTGCCTCTTAGTGTCTCGTGCATTCAAAGCTCCAATTATCATAAACATGCCATCCCTGACATCATGTGCATCCTGTAACATTAGCAAACTCACTGCTTTGTCACAGCACGGGAGACTTAAATTGAATGAAAAGCCTGGTGTGCAGAGAACAACGTCCTATACACGGCATGTGATTATATTATGGCTGTTTAACGGGCAAACAGGACAACAGTGGACAGCAGACTCTGTGGTTCTATCATGCAGAAGCTTCCTCTAGTTGAAAAAAAAAAAAAACCTGAGCTAGATCCTTTACTTGTCTAAAGCCCATGTAGAGCTTACTAAATATGTAGTATGATGCTTTTCCTGTCAGATTAAGTTAAAATACACATTATTCAACTAGCTTTGGTAAGAGTTTTATCTAGAAGTTTAAATATAGAATACATATAGGAATTCTAACGTTCTGTGTAAACATTAATAGCAAGTCAACATCCTCCTCAGGTCCTTGTCCCTTGTTGACACACCATAGTTGCAGTGACTGGAAAAAGGTGAGTACATTTTCCAGTGGGACTTCTGAATGATACCACAACTTTGTAGCTAAATGTTAAGGTAGATGGGGGAACTGGTTTAGCAGCAGTTTTACACATATGCATAACAGAAAAATGCAAAACTTACATAAGCAGTGAACTCCCATGGAACATCAAAAGACATAAATAACATCATCACAATAAGCCTGTCAATTTATAAAAGCAAGCCTCTCCCAAGCTTTAACAAATAAATCTAGTTTCATTCCAGTGAAATGGCTCACCATCTGATGTAATTTGTCATAAAGGCCTGAAAAAGGATTAGATTATTAATGACCCCCTTGATGCTGTGAGCAATTGTTCACACCTGATTAATTTGAATTTATTTAAGGTTTGCTTATGTGTTTAATCTAAAAAAACAAAATACATTCTCATGTCATCAGTTGCTGGATTCCTTAACCAGATATCTAAATTTGCTTTGGGTCAGTCAAAACATGGACTATGTGGGCCATGTGTGAAGGCCAATTCTGAATAGGGAAGACAACAAACGTCCTCTATTGTCCTCACTGAGCTGAGCTTGAAGAGCAGATGACCCAGACGGACTCCAGCTGGGCTATGTGTTTTATGATCAACATTTCAGGGAAGGGACTTGATGATGTCATCTTGAATTTGCACGACACTATCAACAAGGCCATTTAGAAGATTAAGACAGAAACTGATTGCAGTGTTTGTCTCCCTCACACTCTTGCGCCTTGGCACTGAGTGACTTTGACCACAGGGCGTGGCTGAGGTGCTAAACTGAGTACACACAGGTTGGTGGAGCCAGTCTGCTTACTGGGATTGTGTAATAAACAAGTTATGTTGTTAGACTAAGAGTTCACCACGCAACCTTTAAAGGTTTGAGGGCCAGAGCGAGTCAGGTTTCAGTTGAGGAAATTTTTTCTGAGTCAGTAAATGTGCTCAAGCTTGATTTGAAGACAGTGATCTATCATCAGACTAAAAGTTAACAGCAATGAAAAGGGAGGACGTTATTCAGCCTTTCCCCAGGGAACTGTTTTGGTTTATCCTTTGTGAGACCTAATATTTATCTTTAGTGTTATAAAACAAAGACATGCAATCTCCTCAGAGCAAAACCTGAGCAAGTTAACAAGAACAATCAAACAAAAAACAGTTATGATAAATGTGTTCCATCATCTATTTCAGTTGCGCGTGTTGTGCTTCAGAAGCTAAATGATCCTTACGATTGAATTTTGCTGACTAAGGAAAGCCTACTAGCAGAAAACGCTTGGTTTAGATAGCAAACTGGTCCGGAGCATATTCACCTAGAGCACAATGAGCCATTGTCTGCATTTAACCCCAATTTTATGCTTTGGAAATGTGCAATTAATTAAAAAAAAAGAGTTGTTCTGCTGGACAAAGTGGGAGCTGTCATCGTCCCGGAGGAAGGACAAAACCAAACATGAACGCCCCTGGTGCTATGTCTATGCAACCTTCTCTGAAAACATGGCCAACGGTCTGTCATTTCAGACGCAGCGACTGGTTTTAAGACAAAAAAAAAATGGTTGGGGTGATAAGAGAGGCCTGCGAAGGGAGGCCTGCTTCTCTGACACACATACCCCTCAGAATAAATGACATGTGTCAGAGTAGAAAAAAAACAAAACGCCTGGCGTGTGAGTCCCCTATTCACACGCGCCTCTTTGTGCTAACATAGCTGAACCACACACACAATTCTCATACATACGTGCGCGTCGCAAACATTATATGTCCACAATGCTCTGCCACAAAAGGATGATGTGCTTTGACAAACATCTCAGTATCATTTGAACTCACCAGGCCTAAGCTAAATCCTACCTGCACTGCCGTAGGACTTCGCCAGCAGCCATCCGACACTTGCGCATATTTTTGATTTAGTGCAGTCGTACAAATCCAATGGCTTTATGTCTGGGACCACAAAAGTCTTCTTCATGGTAGGGGAGTCCACCATAGTGGGTCTATTTTAAAAAATAATATGCGTGGCTGGCAAAAAAAAAAAAAAAGAGACGATACAAGACAGTAGAAAAATATTCAGGCAATCATTCTTTTTGTAGACTATTCCGCACGGCCACCGGGGTTGGGAATACGGATGTGGTTTTGGGTTTTCCTCGGGATATATCCGCCCCGGTTTTGCTTCAAGCCCGCTAATATCTTCTTCGGCGTGTTTCTGGAGGCGAAATATCCGCTTGGTTGTACCTCACAGTCAAATGAAGCCCCGACCCGCCGGGCTGATACAGAAAACCGAACTATTCCTCCTGTTTTTGTCCCCCTTCGTCCGCATTGCTGTGTTGTCAGTCCGCTGAACGCAGCTCCACTCCAGTCCCACCGATGACTGACTACCAGGTGCTCCACACTGGCATGGCTGTCTCAGGCCGTTGGCCAATAGGAACAGGGGCTGGCTAAAGAGGGCGGGACTTCTCTGTGAATGCGGACAGCAGGTAGAGGTGCGTGGGACTTTCACCACAGGTGCATCTGGTGTACAGGTGAACGCCTGGGGGGACAGCAGCTTTTGACACATTGTCTCTAAACTGTTGGAGACAACCAGAAATGCTGATTGTCCATACATAAGGATGATTAAAAAAAAAAAAACTAATTATTTTGTCTGGCTGTCTAAAAGCAACTTTAGACTTAAAAAAATACATAAACTACTAATATGAATTTATTAAATTCCGCCTGAACACTTAAATTGTATTTTATTCCATGTCAAGATTAAATTGAAAGGTTTGTCACCTTTTTTGCATTTTTTATGCTGCATTCCCCCCAAAAAACAAAACCATAAACTAATATACCCAACCATGCTCTGAATAGTTTACTTACCATCTTAAATTTGTTCAAAATATTGAGCCTACATTAGCCTGAAATGTAAACTATGTATAGCCCATAAACATGCTAAACGGGGGAATGGATATGCAAATGCAGAGATGCTCTTTGTTAAATACATAATTTAGGGCAACTGCAGTATGTCTCAGTGAGAAGACACTGCAGCCATATCCCAGTTCACTAAGATGGGAAACGGTGAAATTGAATAAATAATGACATTTCATTCCTTTGACCCAGACCAGTTCCTTTCCTGTATCTTTTTTATTTCATGTTGACTGTATCACTGGCAACAATGGAAAACAGGAGTGCCTCATCACTTGATGCTTGAGATTGCAAGAAGTCTCCAAATGTATTACTGCGGCAAATTTTTAAGGCAGTTACCTTTGGGCAATTTGTATCTACCTATGGAAGAAAGTATGGTTATTAGTGAGTAATGTAATGTTCTTTTAACGTAGTACCAAGCATGTTACTCAAATCTTGATGAGAAAAAAGCACACTTTCTTTCTAAAACAGTATCCTCAGTTGTTGCATATGACATTTGAAAATTTAGAAATAAAGTTTCAGTGATTTAAACTGAATCTATTAACATTTACTGGCAACATTCATAGTGTGTCAACACAAGAAAAACATTCAAAAACCACCAGTGGATCCTCAAAGACAATAGTCACCTTTTTTATTGCAATACAGCCATAAAAATAATCACTGAGGAAAGTAGCTTTCAATTACAGCTAAATATATAGAGGTGGGATCTCTATCAAACCGACATTCAAATGTGAATCTACTTTGACTTTACGTGTAAATATACAAATGATGCTTGTATATGGACGTCTTAAGAGTCTTTAGAAGTTACATTTGTCTGCAGCCCTTATAATCTTTTTGGATACTCAAGACTTTCCAAGTAGACCAACTACTTGGAATACATAAGTAAACAATGAGAGGATTCAATAGTCAGCTCCATTTGGAAATGAATGCTCCCAGCTGAAGAAACTACGCTCCTCCCCTCTGTTTTCTAGGGCAGAGCTTCCTGTCAGAGGGATCTTTATGTTTCTCATGGGTGAAAAAGAATTTGTACTTTTAATTGTTTTATAAAATGTTGTCAAAAAATAAAGTTTAACTACATCACAGTTATTACGCTGCCAAACATTAGTATTGCATGATGGAAACAGAAAGAAGGAGAAAAAAGAAAGAAAAAATAACTCGAACAATAGGACAACTATGTGGAATCTCACGCTTGGTGAAGACTGACACCATGTGGTCAAAACAAGCAGGCCTTTTTTTACTAACAACAAAATGTAGTCTCTCACATATGAATACAACCAAATAATTATTCCAATTTAAAAATGCATCTACTGAATGGTGACAAGTCTACAGCTTTACTTAATAGAGAGAATGATGGATCAGTCATCTTTAAGGCCTCCAAAGACCGCTGTTGGGACACTCTTCTGTTCAAGCTGAACCTCTGTGAAGTCCAAGCACACAAGTTAATCATTAAATGCTTTTTGTGCAAGTCAAAGACGTCTACATTAACGCTAAAACAAAGTTTTGAACTGTGCCACTCACCCTCAGGTCCTTGGTCATCGCCATCTTCATCATCATCTTCGTCAATGTTGATCTCATCAGGATTGGCTTGCTTGGAAAGTTCAGCCAGCTCACTGCGAGATGTGTCACTCCTGCATATAGATGAGACGATAATGCAATCTAACTCCAGTTTTTAAAAAAAAAAAAACATTGCATGACTTTGATTGGGAATAACAAACTAAATCACAAATAGCCAACCTGACAAAGAGAATCTTCTCTTTGGGTTTGGGTTTGTCCTGCTCTGCCTCAGCAGCAAGCTGCTGGGCTTTCTGTTCCAACAATTTCATGTCGTCTATTCCCATCTGGCCAGGAGCCAGGTCCGAAACTGACAAAGGATTAAACGAAGGTTAGATAGATGCAGCAACGTTTGCTGAAGTTTCAAAGAAAAACTATTTAAATAATTAATATATTCTATCAAATATAATTTACAATCAATAGTTTGCTAACTTCCATAATACCATTTCTTGATTATCTATTCAATCTGGTATGTAGTTTATATGCCTCCTGTATATATTGCAAGCCTACGATAAATTATTTTTTTCTAATTGTATGACTTTTTAAAACTCTACTTATTCAGATTCAATACGTTTCGTAATTATTTTTATATTCCATTTCTTTGTCAAGTGTTTTTAACAAGAATTTTTCCTGGGGGATTAATAATCACTTTTCACACTGAAGGTGTTACTTTGAAAAGAAAAAAAAAAGAAAAGGAAAAACATTATTTTTCTTCATTTGTGGATATTCTCCTCTGAATTTAAGTGCACTTCTCTCACCAGTGCCTGTGGCGCTTGTTGTGGCTTTCATCATCTGAGAGGACATAAAGTTGACCTGGGTGTTGTAAGTGGCCTGGACACTGCGTTTAATCCTCAACATCTCTCTAATGGTGTCTTCGTTTCCGTGGCGGATCTCAAATTCTTTCCATGTCTGCCAGAAATTAGCCGTCACCTGAAAGAACAAGTTAATAAATGTTTTTAAAAAGAAAAAAACAGCATAATGATGTAGGCCTACACCTTTCACTGAAAGGTAGCTTTTTATTCAGGCAGGGATGTGGGAGGAAACTGAGTCTCTTACCCTTGGGTCACAGATCTGGGAGCAGTAGGAGTAGATCGCTCTGGCCCGATCTATTTCACCCAGTTTGCTCTCCATGTCCGCAAATCGTTGGCACATCTCCCTTGCATGCTCATCAGGAAGGACCTGGACAAAAACAAATGGTAGCCCACATTGTGATAACATTAAGATGGAAAAGATAAATGTTACAGGAATGAATGTTGTTCTACTGCTCTGATTTAGTCTTCATAGGCCTAAGGGATCAAATCTGACGGTTGTTTAATCATAATCTGACACATATTGGGAAAAAACTTGATACGTTTTTTTAAACAACAAAGGCAGTTTATCATACCTCAATGGCCTTCTGATAAATTGCTCTAGTATATGTGACTCCATAGATCTCCGCTGCTCTCTTTATGTAGATATTGAACATATTATGTCGCTCCTCCGTTTCCACTGCTTGTGTAGCTCTCTCATAGACAGCCATCGCGTGTCGAGCCAGTCCATATTCCTCCTCCAGTTTGGCATACAAGAGATAAATGGCTGGTAAAACAAAACAAAAAAACTTAGTGCCCCGAGCATTCTACAGAGTGAAGATTAGAAAAAAAGATGAGTGAATATAAAAAAAATCTATCATTCATATTTACTCTTAGCAAACTTTGCAGGACAACCATCGAGGGCCTGTTCAAATAAATCTCTGGCTCTTTCCAGCTTTTTGCCCCCATAGCGATCAATGAACTTGGTGAGGTAAGTGTTCCAGATGTCGTAAACATTTGGCCACCTGAAGAGAGCGATGCCTCGCTCATAAGCCTGAAAAGTAGAAACAAAGACATTTGAAGACTTTAAAGCATGTCAAATTGAGCAAAGATATACTGGGTGCGTTGAATGACTAAAGGTTCACTTATTAAGCCATTACTTTAAAGCTTTCCTCAAAGTAGTTGTGCTCTTCAAGGAACATTGCATAATTGATGATGATTTGTGGAGTGGCGATGCGGAGATCAATGATGCGATCATAAACTGCTTTTGTAGACTGAGAAGACAAAAGAAAAGGGAAAAAGATGGAAGATTTAATCAATTACACATGAACATAAAAGATAACTTACCATCAAATTCACAAATGTTGTATGCCTACTTCATCATATGAAAGTGAAACATGTTAACGTACCTGGAAAGTTCCAAGACTTTCCTCCAAGTCTGCCAGCATAGACCAGACCTTCAGGGACTTGTATACTCTGTTTTGGACCGGCTCTGAAGCATCAAAGTACTCTGCTTTCCTTGATGGGATGGCTGTAGCTTTCTGTATTGAATCATCCAAATATAAATGTTTTCACAAAAGTATATCACAGTAAGAGATCAGCACATGATCTTGTGACAAGATATGTGTAACCTCTCAGTGTTTTACGCTAAGAAATCGACACACCGAAAGCCCTCATTAGACATAATTTTCATAGGTTATTTTCAAACTGCTTTACATCAGGTGCAATGGCTGACAAGCTGCTTTACAGAGACATTAAAATGGGAAGTCTGGAAGCATTACTGCAGTTTCTCAACTTTGCCACTAGATGCTTCCAAACACTTAGAAAAGGAGTTGCTGCTCTTGTTTCTCTGCTGTCACATAACCCTTTCTCCCCTGACACTTTCTGACTGGGCTTCAGAAATAAATCCAAAAGAAACTTAAGGAAGCATGCACGGTTACTCTGAAATTATCTGGGGGAAATAAGGAACAGGAAGGCTTGTGAAAAAAAAAGGATGCACAGACTATCCAAACCAAATGAATGTGTGTGTTCATACTTGTCTGATGCCAGAATAACAATGAAATAAATTCCTGTCATACCCTCAGTATGCGAAGGGCCTGTTCATAGTTCTCATGGCGAAGCTCCATCTCGCCATATTCACACCACACCGCAGCAAGGTCCTCCACCTGCTTGTAGTTCACTTTGGTGGCCTTCTCAAAGATTGTCCTAGCCTATGGTCAGTAAATAAACAAACAGAAAGGTAAATCTGTTCTTAATATCAAAGGTTCCCTCTAATCCCAGGTGAAAGACACTTGGTTTCTTACATCATCCAGTTGCTCATTTTCCTCATAGAACTTAGCAAAAGACACCCAGAGGGAATGAGGCTTTCCAGTGGCCTTCATTGGATCCACAGTCTGCACAGCTTCTGTATATGTGTTAATGATCTGTATGGAAAATTTGGGACGTGGAATAATTAGCAATACTTTGAAGCCAAACTGTTGGCCCATCTGCTTCCAGTTAAATTAATGAAAGCCTTTAGACTCACCTGCCGGGGAATCCCATCATATAGTTTTACCCGCTTGTGCCACTCGTGGACGTTGTGAGGGTTCTGTCTCAACAGTACACTGTTCAGTAGAAGAGGCCGCCTGGCTATCAGCTGCTCAAATCGTGCCAGTCTAAGCTCCAAGTCTATGTCATCTATGTGTGGAGAGTAGAAGAGACTGAGACATGCATAACAAGAAAGGTGAATGTTATGAGCGTTCATGAAACACAGACCTTCCTCATCTTGCCCCATCTCAGCGGTTGTTTCCATCTTGGCCGCAATCATGCTCTCCTCAAACTGCGCATAACTATCGAAGACCTGAGTAAAATCCCTCACCGTTACCACTGTGAGAATGGCCTCCTCATAAACGTCACGTGCCTGGAGGAACAAATATAAAAAAAACATCAAAATAAAATCATGAGAAAGTCAACCTTCAGGGAGCATAAAAATGGACATAAAAGCATTTCAATCAGTTCAATAAATCAAGTGATTTAAGCAGTAAAAAAAAAAGAATCTATTCAGAGGAAACACACCTTTTCAAAAAGGCCACTCCTGATGTAATAGTCAGCTAAGGAGCACCACAGCTTTCCAAGTTGATCAGTGAAGCGAGTGAGTCCTCCTCGTATGATGGCTCCAACATTTAGAGATGTCACCTTATCTGGATTCTGGGAGATCAGGTCGCATAGCTCATGCCACAGCTAAAGAGATGATTAAGAAAAAATTGATTTAAAAAAATGACATCGTGGTAGAAAGACAAACACTTGACAGGTATTTAACATGACATGACAAGTCTTACTTGATAGTTGGACTTGCCCTCTTTGGACACAAAGCCTTCATCGTTGACTATAGCTGCCAGTCGCACAGCTGCTTCATCCAAGCGGCCAACGGACCGTAAATAGTCAATGTATTCCTCTGCATTCTCCGGAGAAAGCTATAAAATATAATTATGTATATATAAAATGATATATTGCACATGTTTTGTTTTGAAACTTAATTTCTACAACAAACTATCCCTAAGCATTCCCTTATTCCTTTGTAAATAATTTTTAAATGTCAGGAACAGCATAGCACTTGTAACATAATTTAAACTAAAGGAGCTAATTCAAAAGCCTTTGACTTATAATAAAACCTTAGAGTATTTACAAGCAATATACAAAACAGGACTTTCGGGTTAGACATATGACATCAAAAATCAGGTTATGATAGACTAAATAAATCATCAAATTCTTTATGAGACCTGTTTTATCCAACTGGGCTGTTTGCTATAAGCTCACCTTAAGGTACCTGCGATACACCCGAATGGCTGTTTCAGGCAGCGGCAAGTTGCGGACAAAGCGGAGATATAAAGGCCAGATTCGAGGGTGCTGAGTTACAGGAAGGGCTCTGAGTGCACGGTCAAATGTTCTCCGACTTCTTGTGATCTTACACTGAGACACAAGGAACTGGCAATAATCAAGCCATATTCGGGGCATCTAGTGTAGGAAAAGAAGTGGTGGTTAATTCACAAACACAATTCCCACAAGCTACTGTACCTTTAACTTTTTAAATTACTGTGAATTTGTGCTATACAGAATCAGTTTTACCTTGTGCATGAACACTAGTGACCTTTCATGACAGTTATTGATCTCTTCATAAACTGGTTCAGTGATACATTTCCCTTTGACCTGTTTTCGTCTCTCTCTCAGGTAGTTGTACCACAACTTATAGCTGTAAAGGGAAAGAGAATTTGCAGTTATCATAAATTAGACTCAATGAGGAGAAAAATATTATAGTTAAATGTTTCACCAACTAAATGCTGCAGACAACATGAAAACCAATGTTAATATTTCTTTAACCAAAGAAAGTCATGCAAGGTCCACTTTGACGGGACATGCTTATTAACAAGCAGTCCACCATAACTGCAAAGACAAACATGGGTGGGCATAAACAACAGTTGGAAGAAATCAACAGATGTAACCTGTGGTGCAGTGCTTTTTAAATAACCAATAGACCTGTAGGAAAACATAGTTATCTACCTAGTTCAAGTTTTCTGATCTCTAATGAACTTCCCGTTACCTGCCAGGCAATTCCTTCAGAGCCCGCTCATAAATCATGTTCAGAGTTGTTTTGGGTCCATTCTGTTTGAATTCAATGTAACGCATCCAGCACTTGACTGAGTACGGATTCCTAATGATCTCCTCTTCATAAGGCAAATCATCGTCCTCCTAAAAAGTCAAGAAAAAAAATCTCGTTGGAAAAAGCACCAAGTTAAACTGTTGTAATATATAGAAATATGCTAAAGCTAACATGTAGGGCGACAGTCAGAACAGTCACTATGTATGTATATATTTTGAATTGTTAGAAAATTTGGAACAAAAACAACCTCGGGTGAAAGTTTTTTTTTTTTTACAGAGCTAATCAATAATAATACGTTTTTAATAGCTTTCAAACTTGGAAACCTTCAACAATGTAAACGTTGATCATTTTGTCTGGCTAGCTATATAGTAAAACTCAACACTGCCTTCTTGCTTTTGTCAAAACCATTCATAGATAGCACTATACTTTTTAAAGTGACTTACAAAGACAACTTCTGATTTCCCATTTAACGAAGGCATTTCCTCAAATACAAAACGATTCTCAAGGTAAAAGTAACGCTAACTATAGCAAGCTACACTAGCTCGCACGATTGAAAGCGTGAGTCCTGAATAAGACTTCCGGTTTCTCCACACAGTGCGCAAGCGCAACGGAAAGAACTACAGAAAAAAAGGCTTGTAGTTCGTATACTTTCGTAAGCCCTGAGAGTATGTATTTGTTTTTATATTTTAATTTAGCTCAAAGATTTTGAATCTTTCATCAGGGTATGACTTGCACTTAACACTTGCAACTTGTGACTTCTTAGATTACAGGGCATATTAAACACGCGGTGGGTTTTGTTGAAACATTATATGGTGCAAATATACACCTCGATGATTGTAGTCTTTACTGTATGATAAAGAAGTAACCTGAGGAGACAGCTGGGGTGTGCCCCACCCAGTCTTGACCTTGAATTGGATGAGGCATGTGTAGAAAATTGATGGATGAATGGAAGGATGGATGTAACTTGAGGTGGATGCAACAGTTGGTCCAGATGACATTTTAAATCTCTTACTCTCAACAAGTTCACTGAGAAAAAGTAAACAGCAGACCTTATATAGAGAGATAATGAAAGAAAACCATCATCTCTTTATCAGTGATTCCTATACCAAATGAACCTGTCTGAATGGATGTATGGCATTTCCTGCGACATTGTGTTCATGTGTGATCCCTCATTTGAGGAAGCCCAATCCTTCAAAACAACGTGCAAAAATGTCATATCAAGTAAAAATGTTAAAAAAGAAGGGGGTTGGTGGCATTTGGATGTTTGTGCGTGTACATTTGATCCTCATATGTAAAGTGCACAAACAATACACTTTAGTAAAGTTCTAACAACTCAAGATGCTTGTTGCAACCTTATAAAACATTTTATCAATTTTAGATCTTCAGTATTTTGAATGGTTTTCCAAGTTTAAAAACAAACAAAACAACAGTCACATTGTTTTTCAATGGCACTGAGTTTCCATGACAGGAGCAACATCATTAGAATCGTATGCATCAGGAGGATAAAGACCTGTGATATCTGAGTTGGACTTATTATAGGTCTTATCTCAGCCTGGTTGGCAAATGTTCTTTCTGTCTTTTAAAGGCAACGTGTAACACTGTTTGAACTTTATGGAAAGGGCCTTACGTTCTGTTTTATTAGAGGAACATGAGATGTGCCAGTGCTCTGCAACCATATACCAGCACCTCCTGGGGGCTTCTCCAAGTTTTATTTCCATTCTCGGCTATGACCATGTTTGATTGCCTCTGGCAATACATTTATTTTTATCAAGACATAATGTCTCATTTGAAAATGAAAGTCATTCAAAAATCTCTCAAATTTAAGTAAAGCTACATTTGTTTGTATAAATTGTTGGCGGTTACAAATGAAAGGTTTAGAGTCCCGTATGCTTAGCACAGCATCTATTTTTGGACATACTTTGAACATTACCATCACACTCGTGTTTTGTGAGTCAAACGCTTGTCCATGAAACATTTAGCAGGAGATTACAGATGGTAAATAGCATACTTTCATAATCTATTGACACATTTTTTGTGGGTTAACATACATTTTTTTTAGAAGAATTTGTGATATTTTGACATATATATCTTTGTAGAAAATGTTTAGAGCAACTGTGAAATTTTAACAAGCTCTGGCTCTGAATACAGCAGCTATCTGAGTTTGTTAAAGAATTTATGAGGTCAAAACGGGAGGTCAACAAGCAGTTCCCTTAATAGGTTATGCACAGTTTTCAAATGATTCACAATTTCATCCTATCATAAGCTATATTATGGAGATGATATGACATATAAATTAAACACGGCCTCATGCCACAATGTAATTTATAGATGATTTATTTAAATGATAGCTTACCTAACGGTATTTTTCTCTGATATGTTGGTTGAAAATATGTTGTCTCTCTTATTCTTTTTTTTGCTTCCAACTTGATTTGACATGTATTAAATGTTGTAAATTGCTGACGGAAGCTGCAATATCACACGATGGGTCTTAAGATGGCAAGGATGCTTGACCAAATCGAGTGGCACACTGTTGCTGACCAGGCACTTGAAGCCTCTATAAAAGCTGCAGCCTCTGACTCCTCTGAGAACTGACTGGCATCCCACACAGGTTAGTGTTCTGAGTGTCAATGTGAGTTAAACTAGCTTTATTTAAAATGATTTGTTCTACTCTTATGCCTTGTAATAGGATTACATTTGTTTTGTATGGGATAAATGAATAATGGATAATTGTATAATTCTTTGAAATTGTATTGGGCAATGTAACAGATCTAAACAATTATTTTCTTGTAGAAGTTGTCTCTTTGCACTGAATCTGAAAATGAAAAATCTGAAAATTCATAGGAAATCAGAATAACTTAAGAGGCTTTTTAAAACTTTTCATTGTTGTTAATACATAATTTGTTGAAATTGAACTCAAATACATGACCATGGACGTTTGCTATAATGTGGTGAGAGACTTGCTGCCGTTTTCTGCTTTGGTCACAGAGGATTTCTGAAAAGTTTCACTCCAGTTGTTGGTCATATAATCTTTTTGTTTAACAGCATTTTCAGGCATCAACAAATTTTGGCCATTCACTTTGGGTAAACTGAGGTAGGGTGGTCCTGCTGAACTTTTTTTGTTATAATAGAATTATTATCAAAATGTATTTTTATATATTGTAATGCAACATGCTCATGATAATTCAAATTTTGTTTTTTCAGCTATAACTAAAGTGCCAAAATGAGCACTGACGCAGAAATGGAGCAGTATGGCCCTGCGGCCATTTACCTCCGCAAGCCAGAGAGAGAGAGGATTGAGGCTCAGAACACTCCCTTTGATGCAAAAACAGCTGTCTTTGTCACTGTTCCCGATGAGATGTATGTGAAGGGTAAACTAGTGAAGAAAGAGGGTGGCAAAGCCACTGTTGAGACAGATGGAGGGAAGGTAGGAAAATTTATCCATTTTCAATTCTTATTTTATTTATTTGAATCTGACTTACTTTTTTTATTCTGTTCTTATTCATATCCATTTAAATCTAAATTAAGCATTCATGATCACTAAAAAATATTTTCATGTTCAGAGTGTCACTGTCAAGGAGGATGAAGTCCTTCCTCGGAACCCTCCAAAGTTTGATAAAATTGAGGACATGGCCATGATGACCCACCTCAACGAGCCTTGTGTGTTGTTTAACCTCAAAGAGCGTTTTGCATCATGGATGATCTATGTAAGGTTTTTACTTTTAGATGGGTGTAAACATATTTACAGTGAATGAATACAGGGCTGTCTTTCCTGAACAGACTGAGTCCCAAATACAACTTCTACAAGTGGTCATATTTTAAGTGTGATCTTCTCTGTCTTTCCAGACCTACTCTGGCCTGTTCTGTGTCGTTGTGAACCCCTA